AGAAGGTTGAGGGAAGCACATACGTGTAATTTGTTTTCACATGTCTCTGGTCTGCCTTTTAGCTTTGAGATGCTTTACATTGTGCTTCATTGCATAAATTTGTTCTAGTGTGGAAAAGCTAGATGAGAAAGTCACCTAGTTCATCCTGCTGTGTCAGTTCTCTCCACCCAAGTTTTTGCAGGATTGTGTTAAAACTGAACTTAGTGGGTATTGTAAATAAGTTAAAGAAGCTTGGGTCTTAGAGCACATATGCCGTGTTCAGTTCTCTGTCCAGGTACATTTTCTGTGATAATGCATAACCTCATAGCATTTTATAGGGTGTCAGTACTCCTGCAATACTCATCCCATCCCATAGTTCAGTCTTATTTCAAACCTACTGTCTATAGCAGTGCTCCAATGTGAATGTGCACACAGTCGTTGTGAAGTACAGATTCTGATTGGGGGTCTGGAATGGGGCCTGAGATGGTGCGTTTCTTACAAGCACCTTATGCCACTGCTGCTGGTCTGTGGGTCCACACTTTGAGTGGAAGCAAAGTTCTGTTAGAACTCCCTTCAAATTTGCGAACCCACTAATGTCTAATTACTCAGTAGATACAAATGTTAACTCTAGGTAAGTAATATCACTTCCGATCTAAGATTCAGCATCTGAGGGTGATAGAAATGGACCATTTTTTAAAAGGCAACATGGATTTGAATCCTGAATCCTCCACTGGTTCTTCTGTGCCTCGGAATTTATTTCTTCATTTATTTAAAAACAAATGAAATACCAAAAAAAGTATAGGCGGTTGTGGGAATTTACATGTAAAGTGCCTGGCTTGAAGTAAATAATGCTTTGACTTTGCACCCAACCCTCTTCTTGAACATAGATCCTGTCTTAATGGGGGGTGTTCAGTAGGTTTTTTTCTGGTTGTCTCACCTCTTGTAAGGGATCCAAGGGAGGATGGTTCGTGTTGGTTAGTAGATATGATAATAGGTTCTTAACAGCAATACGACTCAGTTACTGTTGGAAGGCCTCACCAACATTAAACCTAATGAGAGTAGTAAATGCTTAGTCTGTCAGTCACTTGGCATGGCCTTTATTTGCCTTTGTTTGATTCCCACAGGAAATCTGAAATAGAGTACTATGCCATGTTGGCCAAGACGGGTGTCCATCACTACTGTGGCAACAACATTGAACTGGGCACAGCATGTGGGAAATACTACAGAGTGTGCACACTGGCTATCATCGATCCAGGTATGCTTTGGAAATCATATTTTCCTTTATAACGTAATACAAGTATTTGCTATACAAATGTCTTTGGTTCCTGAGTTCAGATGGTGAGAATTTGGATATATTAAGGCACATCTTACAGTTTTTATTTCATGAAGAATTGGTAATGTCACTATATTGGCTTTGGTATAAGTGATTTTTTTTTTAACTTTGGGAACATGAATTTCATTTGGTCTCTTAAATAATGACTTAGTACCTTGGTAAAGATGCAGTTATAGAAGGGGAGAATAATCAGGTGAAGTGGAGGAAAGTAACCCTTAACTGGCTGCTTGAATAGAGGTAAACTTGGTTGAAAGAAGTTGACTCTGGAACAACACAGGTTTGAATTGCATGGGTCGCTTATATACAGGTGTTTTTAATGAGTTTTGCATCAGTGGATTCACCAACTACAGACCAAAGACAGTATTTGCATTCCATGATTGGGATAAAAGTGTGTGGAAGGCCAACTTACGTTATACGCAGGGGTCAGATCCCCTTATTCCTGAGTTGTTTGAGGTTCAGCGGTATACATCATGTTGTTTCGTAACTTAATTCTTAGTTCATAAAATACTGCGAATATTCTCGCTGTTCTGATTTTCCAATAATCAGGGCAGGCTAACCATTCGCTATATTAAGACCATGCATGTGTCCCCAGACCTAGTTCTTTCCCTAGTTCTGGTTTTATAAATGCTGGTGATAAAAAGTCTGATTTATATCACTCACCTTAAGTATGAAACGTCTGCCTCTGTGTGACTTTGCTAAACCTCAGGAAGGATGGCACAGCTAACATAGTGACTTGAAGATAAGCGCTGCTGATGTCATGACTACTGATTCCAGATGAATTGCAAAATCATTACTGTTTTATTTTTCAGGTGATTCTGATATCATCAGAAGCATGCCAGAACAAACTGGTGAGAAGTAAATTGTGCAGAATTTTTCTTTAATAAAACTGGCCAGAGCTTGATTTAACAACTGCATTCCTTCCCGTTATTTTTGCATCTTTTTGTTTCAGTACTTACCTGAAGATCAGATTAGACAGGGTGAGGCAGCTATTTGGTTGTGGCAAGACTTTTGGGTTAAGAGACATAAATTCCAGTTTCCGTTTTTCCTAAATGGAGTATGCTGAATTCCTTTCCTGTACTGGATTTAATTCTAGCTTTAGAATGTGGTTGGCATTTTATATTTGAATGTGTTTGAGAGGCAACAAGGTTTAAAGCCCAAAATTTAATCAGAATTGCAATTTATTATCCAGTTTTAAGCTAGCACATACAGGTAGCACAGAAAAGTAAATGAAATTATGTGGATGTCTCCCCACCCCAAATTTTGCCACTGCGTATTACATCTCCCAGGTATGTCCCACGGAACCTCTTTCCCACATTTATTAACGTCCCTTAGGAAAAAAAAAACCATTCAGAGGAATTAATTTGGTGTGGGGAGGTACTGATTTATATACATCTTGATTCACGGAGTTGAATGGTGCTGGGAGGGCGTACCCCACACTGTCTCCTTAGGCTCTGAGGGAGGTTGTAAATGTCGGAAATGACCATGTCTTGGACCTCAGAGTCAGTCAGTGTTTAGGAAGTTTTTGGTGGTAGATGAGTGAAGGCAGATGAGGATGCTTTCAATACATTATCTAGAAAGTAAAGTATTTGCTGAACTTGCGATCAAAAGACGCCCTTTATAATAGTAATTATATAACAACTATGGTTGAGTCAAATTCCCAGTTTCACAAGTAAGGGAATTGGTCCTTTTTAGGAGAACATTCCATGGTCTTAGTTTAGGTCTGAAGTCAGTCTGAGTTTATTAATATAATTTGGGAAACAGCTGTTAATGAGCTAGAGTTTTCCTACTGGTTCAGTTAGTCTACTCAGTTTGGGAGCACTACTGACATTTCACAAAGGGAACAACAGTTTTTTGTTGTGGAGGGCTGTGGATACTACAGGATATTTTTCATTCCTGGTTTTCTTTCCATGTGACACCACCTTCAAATGTCACCCCACGGTTTAAAAGTAGCATCTCTTAGTTAAGAGGGACAGAATTACCGGGAAACTTGTAAATGTCCTGAGGTGCTCATATTTGCATGTCTAAACACCAGTGTGACCAAGGTGATTTAAAATGGTTGAAATCTGCAGACAACTGTAATTGGACAACAATAAAATAATTGGGAAAAAAAGTTCACTTTAAGTAATTCTTGAACCAATTTGATGATGAAGTTTGTGCACATAAGGCCCATTTGCAAAAAATATATAATGTACAGTGCTGGGAGATAGATCGCCTTGATAAAGTGGCAGATAAAACACTCCCTGAAATTGAAAAAAAAGAAGTGCTTGAAATCTTTATCCTTGATCAGAATTACTTGGTCAGACTACTGTTGGTTTAACCTTAGTCTGTTTCTGCCATTCAAAATGTTTCAGTTTTTTAGTTAAGGATGTTTATGTACTTGTTTCCCACCTACCTGGTCAATTTCTCCTTCCAGACTGACCTTTCAGCTAGCTGGGGATCTGTGCCTCCAGGCTGACTGTTTCCAAGGGAGGGGAGAGAAACAGACAAACTGATTTGTTAGTGGGGTTGCCTCTTGCACAGGCCCCACCTGGGGACCAAACTGGGAACCCTGGCATGTGCCCTGATCACCACCTTTTGCTTTGCAGTGTGATGCCCAACCAACCGAGCCACATTGGTCAGGGCACCGTGTACTCTTCTGTGTAGTCACGGTCATTAACAAGAAGTTTATAGTTCAGAGAAAAGGAATTTAAAGCAGTAAACAGAAAATTTCTCATCTTGGTCTGAGGCAGCTATGATGAAATGCCATTAAAGCACTGCCAAAAAAAGTGCCAAATCTGGGAATGTCTAATGCGATGTTTCTAAATGTTCTCTTCTGACTGTAACGAGTATGGTGGGTTTGGCTGGAAAGCTCTTTATTACGTAGGGAACTGCAGGAAGTCCCAGCCAATTGGATTTAATAAATCGTGAGTGTAGTTGGACTTCGTGGAAGATGGTCATCTGGTCCATGGAAAACAGTTCTCTTTGATACTCTGTCTTGCAATTCTTATTTCCAGCTTGGACTTGCTCCCTCTGCAGGAGCATCTGCTCTCCTTCCTCCGCGCCCTCTCAGGTCCCCACCCCTGCACACATCCTCTTTCCTCAACTGGGTGCCTGTGACTTACCATGGAGCCTTTTTTTACGGAGCTAATCACATCTCTCTAGTTAACCTAAGACCCCAGAGGACAGTGACTAAACCTTTTCAACTTTATATCATTTATTGTGTAGCACATAATAAAAACTGAAAAATCAGGATGAGTAATGACTTTTAGGACTTAAACATTTCTCATTGATAGGCTTGTGGCTTTCTAGTCCAGAAGTTTATCTTAATCTTGTCAGTAGTAGATCTCAAACATCTTGTACGTTAACCATTATTTAATGTACTACCTTCTACCGTTTGCTTCAAAAGATAATAGGAGTGGGAATCTGCCCAAACACTTTCCCCGGGTAAGGTAAGCAAAGAACTGATGCACTCAACATATACTTTTGTGGTACCATCTTCGTGTCAGATGCTCTTGGCTGCTGAATAAAAATAATAGCTAAATATTGAGCCTTTAAAATGTGTTAGACTTGGCTCACTAGTGTACATGTTAACCCATTTAATCCTCTTGATAGTCCAGTAAGATAGTACTGTTACCTATTGGACAGCATCAAGGCTTGGAAAAGTCACAATAAATAATGAAGCGAGGGCCAAGTTACACATGAAACACACAGATAGCAAAACAAGGAAAATGGCGAAATATTTCCGTTTTAGACAATCTTCAAGTTAAATATGAATTAATCTAAAGTTGATGGGTTGGTTGCTTCCTTGAAGGCATTTTTCTCACCAAGTTGAAAGTTGAAAACCCTTGTCAAGTGTGTATAGCTTAAAAAACCAGGAGCGTGGGCAGCCCAGAGCCACTAGAGGGAGCCAGGACTCAACAGAGAGGGAAGTAGAAGTGAGCCAGTCGCATCTCAAAAGGCGATGCCAACCCAAATCAGTGCTTACCTTCCTAATGAGAATGTGTTTTGGGGATCAAATGGGTGACTTACATGTAAGTATAAACTGTGGGTTTAATATTGAATCACAACTTTTAGACTTTGAAAGAATCATTTTTAGATACAATCAAGGCCTAGAAGTTCTCTCCACTGCACCACACTGCCCTTTGGGAGGACATCGTAATGAATGCTTGTCTTCAAATATTTAACCATGAAGCTTAGTCAAGGGATTCTGTTTGTCAGGCATCATTTCGCCTCCAAAATCCATGGGAAGATCTCATAATGAAGCTACTTCCCGTGGTGTTTTCTTGGTGCTCTAGGTGCCTTCACCTTTGACCCTGTCCCTATTCCCACCTCCTTAATTTCTCAGGGACAGCCGTTCCTTCCAGAACATGTCTTACACTTAAATGTACTTTATGTATCTGAACAAATAGTAATGCTTGCGGCCATTTGAATTTATAGAAACAGCAGTATGCCAAACATACTTTACTGTTGGCTTTTTAAATTCGGCTCTGTTTTTGTGTTTAACCACGTGTACGTGTAGACGTAGTGTGTTCCTCTTTGGAGCTCCACCTCATTTCTAAGGCATGGGCTGTGCCACAATTCACGCGTCCCCCTCTGATGGTTAGGATATTTCTGATCTGTTCATTTCCGTGCACTCCAGCAGCATTCTCGTGTGGGTCTCAGCCCTGCCAGAGTGCAGTGGCCGGAGTACAGGGGCGTGCCCATTCTGTTCTGCTGGACGTTGCCATTCTCCAGTGTTCGCATTCTCGCTCACAGTGTCCCAGAGCCCCAGGTTCCCACGTTCTTACCAACACATGTCATGGTCACACGTACTCACTGTTGCCAAGTGAGGATAAAACAACAGCTATTGTTTCCACCTGCATTTTCCTGATTGCCATGGAGAGTGGACCTTTTTTTCATATGCATATTGGCCATATCTCACATTCCTAGTATTTAAAGTTAAATTAAGAATTTTACACAGTATACCATTCTCTGAAGTGAATTTTAATATTGTACTAAAATATCCAACTAGTACATGTCCTATGATTTTATGCATATGTCCATATACATATATCAAGGTAAAGTCCAATACAAAAAAAAATGGCTTTTCCTATAGCCAGTGTTGTGCAGAAGGAAGACCGTGCAAACTGTACTTTGTGGCCAAATGAGATCGCAGCATCTAAGGCAGGATGAGGCAAAAGCAAATCATGTCCACAGTATGTCACAGAGTATCTTGCATAGCTTATTTGTTCTGACTTGGTAAACTCATTTTAAGGTTCCGAGGGATTCTTTCTCTCATTAAATTTATACAAATTAGTGTCTACTTTTCACCTTTGTTCTATGGCAAACGGGCTTTCTTGGTACTTGACAACCTTACAGAACTGACTGTAGCCTGAGCTTCGGGGCTCAAACTGCTTTCATTGTGATCCTTCATACAGTGCCAGACAAACGACCATTTCGAGTCTTCATCTGTATCTCAGGCGATTTTCCAGGGCTTCCATCCTCTGTGTCATTTCTTCTAGTAAATTTCAAGTTAAGGAAGAGGACTCTGAATCGCCTATTTTATTTACACTAAAATATAACTTAATTTACCTAAATAAAAATTTGTCCTAAAAAAAAAAAATCAGGCTTTTTGTTCCATTTCTGTTACATATTTAAAAACCCTGACTTGTAAGTTTATAGTGACTTTAACAAATGTGACCAAGACCATAAATCTCTTTTGGGGTAAAACATCCAAGTGGGCTAGTTTGGCTCAAAATTCCTTTTAATTTTTAATTCGTATCACACCTCTGTTGCTTGTAAATTAGCTTGTCTTAGCACGCCTCCATGAGCCAGAATTGATAATGTCGGTAATGTGAAGAGGAAAGAAACAAGGATTAGGCCTTGGCAGTGAGCTAGGACATCCGGGGAGGGGGAGTTTTCACTCATGGTGCAAGGTACTGGCCAAGGCTTAGCAACCTTGAGGATGGCTGACCTGTGCTCTTTTATGTATGACTTCCTTAGTCACAACCCTCCTCGGAGTTGAGGGGGGGAAGGGAGAGAAGAACATTCGAATAAGCATTTATCTTCCTCCCTGTGAACTCCTTGGTACCTTCTACCCACCCCACTGGGTGCAAAATGAGAGCCCAGATTCACTACCTGCATCAATCACTGTCAGATTATTTTTCTTGGGGGGCCATATTTTCAGCTTTCAGAAAGGGAATTTCTATATGCTGTTTCTTATTATATAAACCCATTGGCACAGAGATCGTTCTGAATTAAACCACTTCCCTATTGACTAGTTGGTGCACGTTGAGATAAATATCAGCCAACTTTAGTAAACTGACTAATTTTAAGTCCAGAGCAGTTGGCAGGCTGTTCAGTGTATAAAAACACTAAATCCTCATTTCTCTATTATCTTAAAGCATTCCTTTTATTTGTAATATTGTTTTAATGAATCATTGGATCCTGCCGTACCCTTGGTGGAATGTTTTATCTCACAGTGCTGATATAAAAGATCTTTGCTGCCAAAAAAACCCCAACCCAGTCCTCGAGAAACTAAACTGTCCGAAAGTGGCCACAGTGTGGGTTAGGGCCAAAGAAAAGGACTGCAGTCCAGATGGGGTTTGAAACCGCTTCTTTCTAACAGGGGTATCTAACCTGTTGGCATCTCTGGGCCACAATGGAAGAAGAGTTGTCTTGGGCACACATGAAATACATTGTGACACAAAATCACACAAAAAATCTTACAATGTTTTACATAAATTTATCATTTTGTGTTGGACTGCATTCATAGCCATCCTGAGCCACCTGTGGCCTGTGGGCTGCAGGTCGGACACCCCTGCCTCTTTGCTCCTAACCTTTGCTAGTTCAGTACATATCCTCTATCTTCTCCTACCAGAGAGGGAGTTAATTAAATACATCTGTTTTTTTTCATGTGCATGCTATGCTGTCTGGCTGTACTGCTAAACCTTCTAGAACAGCAAATAGCAACTAAAGGCCTGACCCTTGACACCAAGCTTGTTTGCCCTTGGCTCTCAAACACCTAACAGTTTTCTTAGAAAAAAAGCCCTTCCTGGAGTTCACTATTCTTGACTTCATGGATCTACTTCATTTGGCCCATACCCATGTATAGTATCTGTGACATTTCGACAACATTCTTTGCATTCCATACAGAAGCATAATACAAGAAAAGGATATAGCGTTGTGTTAATTTTCTTACTTCTTCATTTGCAAGATTCTGGACCATGATAAGGTTTTCACATTTGCATTGATCAGGTTTTTCTTCCAAAAGACTTCCTGAGAAAGCAGAGAAACTGTTCACCTCTAAACCCACCAGATTTCCCAGATAGCAGAACAATAGGACTGAATCAGCATATGCAGGAAACCATAATGAGAGAAACGTTCAACTTTCCCCACACAGCCCGGTCCAGTAAATCCCAGGAAAGGGCGTCCAGCACTGAAGCGGCCTTTGTTGTGGATTCGGGGAAGACCCAATCAGTTGGTTTTAGTTTCCTAGTTCTCATTTTCCTTCAGTTATTCTCTTTCCCCATCCTATTTCCTATCTCCTCCTTTCCTCTCTTCTTTTAAACTGAGTTTGTTCGCAAGCTGAAGGACTGGTATCAAGTTAACCTACAGTAATATTTTGCTGGGAATTACCTGAAGATTTTGTAGAATGGAACAGCTTTTGTGAAGACCGTGAAAGACTGTCTTCTTCAAACAGATATCTGTGTTGCACTGCAAAATTAGAACAGGAAAGTAGGTCTTGGATACTTATGGTGACTGGCTCAGATTCTGTAAAGAGAAGAAAAAAATGAAGTCAAACCTGCCTAACATGACCGTGGTATAAAAAAGCTCAGCTGTCAGAGTAAAGCCCTCGGCATGCCCAGCATGTGGTGCCTAGTGTTAGGATGGATATACTGCGGCAATGAGACGTGGCAGAGAAGCTGTTACCAAACATGGCTAAGGTGTGGAGTAACTGTGTCCTAGCTGATCGAGGGGGAAAAGCCACAGTCAGCATAATTCAAATCTTACTTTCATTTCATTTTAAAATAATTTTTAGTCTTTAATTACCACAGTTGACATACATTATTATAATAGTTTCAGCTGTACACCCAGTGACTGGACATTATACAACTTACTAAGTGATCATCCCAATAAATCTCACACCCATCTGACACCACACATAGTTGTATCGACTGTATTCCCTGTCTGTACTTCGTATCCCCATGACTATTCTGCAACAACCAATTCGGACTTCTGAATCCCTTCCCCTTTTTCACCTGCCGCCCCAACACTCTCCCATATCGTAATTGTCAAGATGTACTTTGTATGTATAAGTCTGTTTCTGTTCTACCTTTTTTTGCTTTTTAGATTCAATTGTTGATAGGTATGTATTTCATGTCATTTTATTGTTAATATTTTTATCATTTTTTCTTCTTATTTTTAAAATATTTCACTTATTTATTTTCAGAGAGACGTTAAGGGAGGAAGAAAGAATGGGAGAGAAACATTAATCCATTGCCTCTTGCACACCCCCAACTTCGGTCCTGGCCTGAAACCCAGGCATGTGCCCTGACAGGGAATCAAACCAGTAACCTTTGGTTCGTAGGCCAGTGCTCAATCTACTGAGCCACGCCAACTAAGGCACGTTTTTTCTTCTTTTTAAAGATGACCCTCTAACATTTTACATGATACTGGTTTGGTGGTGATGAACTCCTTTAGCTTCGTCCTGTCTGGGAAGGTCTTCGTCTGTCCTTGCATTCTAAATGATTGCTGGGTAGAATAACCTTGGTTGTAGGTACTTGCTTTTCATCACATTGAATATTTCTTGCCAATCCCTTCTGGCTTGCCAAGTTTCTGTTAAGGAATCAGCTGACAATTTTATGGGAGCTCCCTTGTAGGTAACTAACTGCTTTTCTCTCGATGCTTCTAAGATTCTCTCTTTGTCTTTAACCTTTGGCATGGCATCTTTGGGTTCACCTTCTTTGTGATCTCTGTGCTTCCTAGGGTTGTATGTCTATTTCCTTCACCAAATTAGGGAAGTTTTCTTCAGTATTTTTTTCAACTAGGTTTTCAATTCGTTGCTTTCAATTTTTTGGATTCTTTTTTTTTTTTTTTTTTGCTCTTCTGACTGAATGATTTTGTTTTGCTTGTCTGTTTTTGCTTCCTTATACTACAAATCACTGATTCGACTCTCAATTTTATCCACTCTACTGTTGACTCTTCATTTCAATTAGTGTATACTTCATTTCTGACTGGTCCTTTTTCATGCACTGAAGTTCTCACTAAGTTCATTGAGCATCCTTATAACCAGTGTTTTGAACTCTGCATCTAGTAGATTGCTTATCTCTCTTTTGTTTAGTTCTTTTTCTGAAGTTTTCTTATATTCTTTCTTTTAGGACACGTTTCTTCATCTCCTCATTTTGGCAGCCTCCCTGTGTTTGTTTCTATGCATCAGGAAGAGCTGCTATGTCTCCTGGGCTTGGTAGTGTGGCTGAATGTAGTAGTTGTCCTGTAGGATCCAGTGGCACAGCCTCTCAGATCACACAGGCTGGGCACCTGAGGTGAGACCCCCATGTGGGCTGTGGACATCCTCCTGTTGTACTTGAGTCTTGATTGCTGTTGGTATGTCAGTGGGAGGGATTTATTGCCAGGCCAGTCAACTGCAAGGATTGTCTCTGACCACTGACCACTAACTTCCGACCACCATGGAGGATCAGCTGTGCAGGGGCCCAACCCACAGAGCAGGACCTACTTCAGCAGGGCTCATATTTCTCTTTCATTCCTTTACAACTTTTGTCTGGGTGGCAACCATGGAGGAAGTATCCACCAAAGGTTCTCAAAACACTGCTTTTAAAAACTTACCTGTTGGCTGGTGAACCTTCTTCGGCAGTTCCCCTGCTGGGGAGTCCTGACTTCCATCAGAGTCTTCCAGAGCTGAGAAGAACAAGATGACCAAAAGCAGTGACAGTTGTCTGCATGCACACATATGTTCTTTAGGAAACTGGTCCCAGACCAACTCCTCGCCTACCTGCCCTAACCCAGGGTATTTTGGTATCATTTGGTAACACCAGGAATTCAAAGAGAAATTGGTTACCAGGAAAATCCAAGACCACTCTAGGGTGGTTTTCTCCAGTGAGGGAAGCCTGGACCCCTTAAGTGCATCTTAGTTAAGAATGCCCCCCAAATATCATACCTAGAAGGCGAGGTGGGAAAAAAATTAAAGCTGTCCAAGGATTAAGTTGCGGAGGCAAAAGCTCCACTTGTTTCAGCTTGAATGAAACAGCCTTGAGGCAAAACATTATCTTCCCACAGCAGAAATCTGAAAGGCCTTCTCTCCCTGGTCTCCCTTCCTCACATTGTTTTTCCTTTGAGAGGAATAAGATATATTGCTTAGACTGGGATTTTAGTGGTGACTGAACCTGGGACAGGAGTGAAAGGAAACTGGGCAGCCCTGTTGTATGCCAGCGTGCCTCACATAGGGCACAGCAACTGGAGAAGGCCATGGAGACCTCTTGTAATCAACAAAATCTGAATTCGAAAAGGTAGTCTCGTGTTCTGTACGCAGATATGGTCCATGCAGAAAGATATTCTTCAATTTTAAACAGTGGGCTTGGACGGACTACCATCGCTTTCCATTCCAATTACAGGTGCATCCTGAAATTGTACATTGTAGGAGACCATTTGGCATGGCATGGGCCCAGCTCCCAGTGGAAAGCAAGGTCCAATGCACAGGACCCATGCCCATGGATGGGGTCTTCTATGGGGAATCAGGCCTGCAATGTACCTAGACCAGTATGAGACTTGCTTTTGCTAAAACTCCCTCACCCTGAATTGAGGCAGAACATTTACTGCGAAGTAATGTCCTAAAATCCATGCTAAACCTTCCAAGGATGAGTGTAATCAGCTCAACTACTTTTCCCTTTTCATTTGCAAATATCCCTCTTCTGTGATATGATTAGTGGCATCAGCTCCTTTGTTTTCTGTAAAAGGTAACCACCTAAAGCAAACCTGTACATAGAAAATGAGGACCATCATGTAATGTGCAGAGAAAAAAGAAATAAAGTCCTGTCACGGTGCCTGTCTCATGCCTCATCCACAATGTGGTGGACCCCATGAGTCGGGGTCTGCATCAGGACATCAGCTCTCTGATTTATGTGACGGTTGTTTCTTAGATGACCATCTATGAAGGCTTTTTCTTTTTTTGGTTCAGGATTTAGTATGCCAGGGTGTCAAAACACTTATCACATTGCTCAGCACAAAGCAAGCACCAAGCAATGTTGGCTGTCAGTTTTGTCTCCTCTCTCCCCTCTTGCACTTTCTGTGCTTAGTGTTTACTGGCCTGCACACCAGGGGGGCACTTTTTGGAGCACTCTGAAGGAAGGGGTGGAGGACTTCTCATCCAAGGGTCCATGCTGCCCTGTTTGCTAAGATCTCTCCAAGACACAAGCTGTAGTACCTTCACATATGCCTTTCTTTAGTTTCTCACTTATCTCGCCCATTGTGCTGAAGTCTTCAGCATAGAAGAGATGCTTGTTGGTGGGTTTAGAGGCAATCTCTTGCAGTTCTTCCTCAATGGCTTTTCCTACCCCGACGGCATACATAGTTATACCTAAGGTGCAGAGCAAAACAAGAAGGGTCGTTAGGGCTGTGTTCTCACGGCCTGGGAGTCGCGTGCACTGCACCCAATGCCAGCTACAGGTTGAGTGGGGTGATTTCCATGTCAGCCTCCCTTTATTTTTTTACCATTTTTATTTTGGTGCTGTGAGCAGAAGACAGGGATCCAAAAGAGGAAGGTGAGGCATCTAGGTGAGGTCGGGGAGCTAGACCACTGACCTATTGCTCAGCTCTGGGCAAGGTTAGTTAACAAATCTTAACTACTTTTCCTTGAATCAGCCGTGTGGATCAAGTGGAAAAGAGCACTACCTATGACTTACTGAATGGGAATCTCTTCTGGGATAAGCCTAAGAAGCCAGCATTTTATAACCTTATAACCTAGTTTCTACTTCTCAAAGGTACAGGGTAGGAATGATACGTGACCTGGGGCAAGGTGAAGTTGCATTCTGCCTACCCCCCCCCCCCCCCCCCCACCCCGGGGAAGACAAGGCCTTGTGAAGAGGGGCTAAGCTAAAAAGGAGAACTTGCAGGCCGCTGGAAATCCCCAAAGTCAGAAACCACAGCAAACCCAAGAATCAACATTAGATATCAAGACATAAGATATTGCTCCAAGAACTTCTCTAAACAGTATTAATCATGAGACTGTCTTCCCCCACATATTCTTTATTCGAAAGTAAAACACTAAGACCTTAAGTTGTACTTGCCAACATTTTTTCAGCATGAATATCTTATTCTGGCTAATTCATTACACTAGGTATAAAAAAATACACATAAAAATGGCTCTTTAAGCCAGGGGGCAAGAGCTATTCCTGTTCTAAGTCTGTGTAAGGTCAGCAGCCAAGTTCAGCATATTCGTCCAAGAGCCCAGTGAGTTTATGTGCAACTTCCTAAAAAGGGTAATTACTATTTTAAGGTTGTGTTAGCTATGCACAGGAATAATTACACTTCAGGTACATTTTTTGGTTCAAGAACCAAACGTGTTTCTCCTACCATCTGCTTTTGGGGGATTTGTGGGAAAGTGGGTTGTGGGGAAAGGAAGGCAGATGGATCTCAGTGTGACACATACAAGGGCTCCCCACTGCCTTTGGGGGAAGATGCTTTTCCTGGCATTTTAAGAATGCAGGCTCTAGGGGCCCATGGGTTTGGCAGGTGCCTTCATTCACAAGCTAGTTTAGACACAGAGGAACCGAGAGCGAGCAGCCACCCAGATGACAGGCAGGACGCTTGCCTGCGGCTGCTATTCTGTTGGCCTCAGAAAAAGTTGTGAACAGTGAGGGAAGTAATAACAACCACACAGCCACCTCCACAAAGGCCGACTGAGAGGCATGGACTCTCCAACGGGGTCGCTAGCACTTTCACCCCTGTGTTCGCTCACTCAGCCAGTGTTAGTCACACAGGTCCTGCGTGCAAGGCCTAGGCGCTGGGTGCATGACTTCCCAGATGAAGCCCCCATCTGCACACACCCTTTCCTGCCTACAGGACCCACTAAGGCAGTGTGTCTTCCACAGGTTCTTAAGGACTGTGGCTTTTAAGGAAATCGCTTCACAGCCTCAGGTTTTCTTATCTCCCCAAGAAGCCACTTTGCCTTAAGCTGTCTCTAACAACCATCCTAGCTTTGGGTTTTCCATTTCCAGGGGCCACACTTGACATCTACCCACAACTGAAGTAACCTCCAGTGTTCCTGCCTTCCAGGTGGGGTCAGAAACCCCTCGGGCAAGAGGCTGGATTCTATTGAGCAACAAGAGCTTAGAGTCACAACCTCCTGCAACACTTTGATTTTCTCAAAAGCTACCTTTTGCCTCTTGCAAACACAAGAGTATTTGCTCTCCTAAGGCTTTTGTGCTTTTAGCATTCCATTTCAGTACTGATTTTTTTAAAAAGGATCAGTAAAAACCCCTCCCACCAGGAATCTATTTTCCCCCGTGTTTGAGGACAATTGTGTGCTTACCTCTGGTTAAACAGCACTTGCAGCACTGATTCTCTCCACTGGAGGTCACTCCCTGGCTAGTCACGTGCAGTAGCTGGTTGCTCAGGCGTGGTCTGTGTCTAGACTAATCGCCCAATCTGCAACTCTCCTGTCCTGCCCTGTCTTGCCCGTCCCTTAACTCCCTTGTAGGCCTCTAGATGGCAGTTTAGTAAAGGTGTACAGCAGCAGTTGACAAAGCCTTTCTGTAGGCTCAAGGACTCACTCCTAGGGCCAGCCATGACTACCAGTGAGTTCAAGAAACCTGAACCCTGAGTGGTGTAAACCCCACCCCCAGCCCACTTTACCGTTGGCCTTGGCTTTACTGGCCCACTCGGAGACGTCGTCCTGGGCCCGTCCATCTGTGAACACGATGGCCACCCGGGGCACCCGCGTGGAGAGAGGCCTGGCCCCTTCTACCTGGGTGAAGCTTCTCTCAAACATGTGCTTCAGGGCCAGCCCCGTCATGGAGCCCTTGCCCATGTATTTCATGTGGGCCACGGCCTTTTTCATGTCCTTGGCTGAGCTGAAGTCCCTCAAGGTGAACTCCGTGCGGACCTGCGTGGAGTATTGTAGCAGCCCCACTCGAGCGGCTTTGGGGGAGATCGCCAAGGAATCTATAATTCCGGTGACGAACTGCTTCACAATCTCAAAATTATCTTCTCCGAGGCTCTTGGATCCATCGATCACGAAGACCAGGTCGACCGGGCCTTCGGAGCATCCTGTGAGGATGAAAGGGAAGCGGACGCAGGTAACCGATTTTAAAGGACCATGTACGCCCGAGAACAGGAGAAAGTTGTGCTTCAGTTGGAGGCATAACCACTGTGGAGAACTGCCTTTGTTCTCTAGATAACACACAGATGAGAGTGCCAGGAGAGACACACAGCAGAGGTGCAAACTGTCGAGGGTCCCTGACAGCAGGTCTGGGAGGGACTGTGAGTGACGTGCACCAGAGGGTCTGACAGCACCCAGCAGATTCCTACAACTTCACTGAGCACCCCGGCGCTGGTGTTCTGACAGAACGGAGAAGGAGATTCTTTTGTTCGTTTGTTTATGGAGCTTTATGCATATTTTTTATTGAATTTATTTAGATGACATTGGTTAATAAAACCCTAAAGCTTTCAAGTGTACAATTCTGGACACACCTTCTGCCCACTGCATCGTGTGCTCACCACCCAAAGTCAAGTCTCCTCCTACCACCCTCTGTCCCCCTTTGCCCTTTGCCATCTCCCCCCACCCCTTCCCCTGGGGCAATCACCGTACCATTGTCCTGTCTATGTGATTTCTTTTCCTTCTTCTCAATCCTTTCACCTTTTTCACCCAGTCCCCCAACCTCCCTCCCCTCTGACAGCTGTCAGTCTGTTCTCTGTTGATAAGATTGTGTTTCTGTTTTGTTAGTTCATTTTGTTCACTAGAGTCCACATATAAGTGAGATCATATGGTATTTGTCTTTTTCTGACTGGCTTATTTTCACTTAGCATAATATTCTCCAGGTCTATCCATGGAGAATGGATAGATCTTCTTTTTCAGGACCAAGTAAGATTTCTTTCCTTTTCACGACCAAGTAATATTCCATCGTATAAATATACCACAACTTTTTTATCTACTTATCTATTGATGGGCATGTGGGCTGTTTCCAGATCTCAGCTATTGTAAATAATACTGCTATGAACACAGAGGTGCTTATATTTTTTTGAATTAGCATTTCAGGTTGGAGAAGGCAGTTCTTAAAATTCAGCCTAGCTATCACCTTTTGCAGAGAGCTTTCCTAGAAACCCGGCTTGCATTAGGTATCCTCTGTGTACTCCTCATGCTATAAACTTATCCAACAAAACTTTGCTTATTGAGTACCTGCTTCGTGCAGGGCAGCAGGCGCAGCAGGATGCAATAGTGAACCAGACAAAATTCCAACACCAAGTTGCTTATCATCCAGTGTACTCTACACACCGTGCAATAGCTGATTAAGTGTGGGTCTCCTCCTCTAGTCTGCCGGTTCCTCCACAACAGGGGCCATGTCTCATTCACTTCCATACCCCACCCCAAACCTCGCACACAATAGGTGTTCAATAAATGCTTATTGACAGAATAAAGGAAATGGTGCCCATTGGGTAGCACACCTACCTGTAAGTACCCTACTGACCTATTACAATGTAAACATGAATTATCACTGGGAATTCTTTCTCTACATAAAAGCTTTCCAGGCAGCTCAGAAGGTTGACAGGAAGAGCTTTATGCAAATACTTAAGCAATCTGGGTGTGGAGAGATTTTTTTGTCAGGGCTATGTAGGACATTTACACATCCCAAATGGATGACCTCATAACATTCTCTGTTATATGTCAAGCAGCTGTCTAATCTTTGAAAGTGAAGCACAACAATATAAGCAAGTAAAGGCACACACATTCAAGAATATTTCTAAATAAATATTTGCCTGGCCTAAATAACATGCTAATAGGTATATGTGTGTGCATGTGTGTGTTGGGGGCTGGGTTCCACTCTTTCTCCATTAAGTGCTTATCCTCATTACTCAACTTACTGATTCTTTACGAGTGAAAGAAGAAAAGGCCAATTCAGAGTTCCATTTACATTCATAGTCTGTTCCTGAATTAACCAAAAACAACAGCTGGGCAAAGTGCATGTGGATCTCTAGCGGATTTCAGAAATACTGGAATGACTATATCTGTGGGTCTGTTTTTTCCTCTTCTTCATACACTCTTTTTGTACAGAAAAAAACCAGCCCACGCAGGCTCCACCCACAGAGGGGCACGCAGGCTTCTCAGGAAACAAGGATGGTAGGTCCAGACTTCGGCTTTCCCACCCAGGAGCAACGCAGCCCCACCTGCTGGCTACTTCTTTGCAGGAGGGTCACCCCAACTTTCCTTGGGTATTTTATTTTTGGCAGTCAGGTCAACTGATTGACTTTCAGGACTTAATCTTCACTGAATTCCAGAATTTCAGGGTTGAATAAGACCTTTAAAGGTCATCTAGTGCAGCGCCCTCTGTTGCTTACATCTTTACAACATCCCTACCCAGCAGCCTAAACACTTCTCCTGATGAGGAATGAATGCATCTCCTCGCCCCTGAAGCCCCATCTTGGGACAGCTCTGCCGTTGCTGATGACAATGGCTGTCATTCGTCAAGCACTTAGAATGTGCCAGCACTGGGCTGAGCACCTTTAAATATGTCATCTTATTTACTTCTCATCGTATAGATGAAAAACTGAGACTCTAAGAATTTAAATACAGAATCTGCCCAAGTTCACAGAAGTGTACAAATGGGGGATTGAATCCAGATCTGTCTGACTCAAAGCTCATGATCTTAGCAGGTCCATCACACGGCTTCCCTGAGAGAGAATTTCTCTGTCCTCCGCCTGAGCTGTGCTGCAGCCTCTCGCCAGTCTCCTTTCCTTCCCTGGGGTGGGCGTGGGGGTGGGGCAGGTCACAAGGTGACAGTCACTTTGGTAATTGAATGGTATCTCAAGTCTTTTTTTCTAGAAAGACCCCAGTTTCTTTCTTTATTTTTCACTTGACATCATGCTAAATTTCCTCACCGTGGTGCTTTCTAAATTTCATCTCTATACCTTTCCTTAATTTTTTTCTTTAAAATAATACATGCATATCGAACAAAATTAAAACATTATAAAAGAGTATGTGTGTGTGTGCTGTGTCTGTTGCTCCATGTATATGTGTGTATATATATATACATGTAATATATCTAATATATACATATGTGTATATAATACATACATTATATACATATAATGTATATAATATATACATATAATATTTATATTATACATGATATAATATATATATTAGAGGGAGCCTCTTCCAAAATATATCAATAGTAATATACTATAAAAACCATTCAGTGCCATTTTTTTCTCTAAAACATCTTGAGGATATTTTAGGTGAAAAATATATCTTGAGGATATGTACAGCTGCTTCATTCTTTTAAACAGCTGTATAGTATTCTACTGTATAGCTACACCGTAATTTACCTAATCAGTCTCTTATGGATAGAGATTTACCTTGTTCCCAGTATTTTGTTGATACAAATAATACTGCACAAAATGTTCATATATGCATGTATGTGTGTATATATATATATATATATATATATATGTATAGTTTTGGGAATACATGCACACATTGGTAGCATAAACTCTTACACGCTGAATTGCCTTTAAAATATTGCCAGATTGCCCTTCTAAATGTACTGATTCAGATACTTGGTGATACACTTGTAAGTACCTATTACAATACACCTTCGCCAACATAAAGGATCATCAACTTTTTGATCTCTGTAACTGATAGGTTTCAAAAAAGGTATCATAGCTTTAATCTCTTCCTATACATTTTCCATTTTTTGCTTCTATGGCTTTTATGTTTCATGTCATGTTTAGAAAGGCCTTCTCTAATCTCAGATTATAGATTAGTTCTCTCAATTTTCCCCTGCTGCTTTAGCAGTTTTATTTTTGCAGGATTAAAGCTTTGCTCCATCCCCCTCTCCCTGAAGTGCAGGGCTCAGAGCTGAACATAACTCTCCAGCACAGGGTGCAGCACAAGTCTCAAAAGATTTCCCACAAGCACTGAGTTCTGCTCCCTTCCCCACGCTCTGTTCATGCACACACATTTATATTCATTAGGGAAGCAGGGATGGGGAATTTGTTCCCTGAAAAGAGTCCAAAAAGCAGTTACTCCCAAACCAAATGAAAGCAGGAAGCCAAGTTCAGATCACTTACTCTTGCACCGTCTTCCATCCTCCGCTAGAACAAATCCCTCCGAGCACTTGCAGATGTAGGAATCGCCACGATTAATGCAGATGTGTTCGCAGCCATGGTGGGCCGATTTGCAGACATCCTTCCCTGAGGAAAATGTGCAGTGAGCGATCCCGTCAGTGCAGAAACCAGCTGGACTGAGCAGTCACGTCGGGAGAGATCGCGGAAGTAACCCATTTTGTAGAAATCCATCTGCGTTCCAACCTCCTCTAACACAGACCCCTTTCAATCTAATCCTTAGGATGGGCTGAGGGAAGGGCCCAAAGGGCTTTCACCCCCTCAAGCCTGAATAGTAAGGTGGGTGACCGGTGTCCTAAATTTATCACCAATTTTTCAAATTGTTCGACCTGCAATGGCTTTTGATTTTCCCAAACTACTGATTTTTTTCCAGAAACATCCCCAACGCTCCTGTTTTAATGAACATGTCTCATGTGTGAAGCACATGTAGTAACAGCCCTTTAATCTTTACAGCATCCTGTGGTAAGAGGAAGGCAGGACTAATTATACTGAACCTACAAGTGAAACAATTCAGAAAGTTTCGCGGAGTTGCCCGGAGTTGAAGTGAGCTGCAGCGAGCTGCTAGCACGAGGCATGTCCTCTCTCCTGAGCACTCCCCTCCGCAGCATGAAAGCCTGCGGTTCTTTTCTCTCATTCCCTTTCCAAAAGGGGGAGCTTCCTACAACATTGCAATAGGTGTGCTACAGATCCTTCTAGAAAGTGGGAATTTGAAAGTGGAGGGATTTGATTTAGCAATTAAATCCCAGGGGTAGAAGTGGTACCTATTAAGCAACAAACACGTTGAATGGATAAAGGGTGCATGTGTGTACGCCTGCATGTATAGAAACAAAGAAGAAAGCACGGACTGGTGGCTCGGGCAGATGTAATGGCAGCACGGTGGACAGAGTCTCCGCAGAAGGGGCATTGCTGTGTGAAGGCAAAACACAGGATCATGCAGGGAGGCCTGCAGGTTGGAGCCAGGGTCCCACAGGCCTCCAGGAGACAGCTGTTCCTGCTAAAGGTAGGAGCCCTTCTTCCCAGTGGACGACAAGAGCAGTGAGTTCACTCTAACACAGCTTTGCTGACACATGGAATGGCCCCAGTTATCTCAAAGGAGTCTGGGAGGAAATTCCCCTGAGTCAACCTCAAGGCCAATGAGTTTACTTTGCCTTAACTAAAACAGGGCCATTCTGCTCATGGGACTACAGTATCAATCATAAGAACAGGTCGATAGTGCTGAACCCCCCAAAACAGGGATTCACAGCTCAGAATCTCTCAGTGGAGAAGAATGCTTGCCCCGTGCTCTTCTGATGCCTACCTCTCTGAGCTAGCGTGTCTCTGTCTCTAACTTTGGGTACTGTGATGGGTAAGTTTATGTGCTATGGTGCCCAGTTGTTGGATCAAACAGCAGTCTAGATGTTGCCATGAGGGTATTTTTCAGGCGAGATTAACACTGGAATCAGTATATTCTGAGTAAAGCTGAGTACCTTCCATAATGTGGGTAGACCTCACCTAATCAGTAGAAGGCTTTATGTAAAACAGACTGAGATTCCTCCAGAGGACAGAATTCTGCCAGCAGCTGCCTTTGGATTGGAGCTGCAACATCAGCTCTTCCATGCATCTCAAGGCTGCTGGCCTACCTGCAGATACCATACTGGCCGAACCCCCCTAATCATGTTCTATATCTGTCCATCCATCCATCACACATATACATCTATCTATCTATCTATCTATCTATCTATCTATCTATCTATCTATCTACCTATCTATCTATGTGTGTGTGTGTGTGTGTACGTATACACACACCCATACATCTTACTGGTGCTGTTTTTCTGGAGAACCTTGACTAATATGCCTTCTAAATACACTGTCAGAGTCTGATCTGTGTGATATATAGAAGTGAATGATGGTAGGTTAAATAAAACCCAGAGAAGATCCCTTCAGCACCTCTCACATCTTCTATGCTTACTTATAAGAGCTTCCGAGAAGCAAAAGCCCTGTAATTATCCTCTGATGCCCACAGCGATTGCTCACAGAGATTCTGAGTCAGTCCCATGACCAGCCGGGCACTGTCCACACAGCCCTTATGGAGAGGGCCAGCAGCTGGGGGAACATGAAAAGAAGTAAAGAGCCTGACAACTCAGGACCTTGACCTAGAGATTCCTAACAACTAAGAGTCTACTGTATTGATCACCAGCAAGACACTTTAGAACACCCAAGGCAAGTGTGACATTGTCATTGTGACATTGATCACAAAGGAAGATTTTAAAGATTAAACAAAGTTCTATAACCAAGGCCCGCAGATGGACAAGTGTGTCTCTAGCTGGCCGTCACTTACTTCTGCAGTGTTTCCCATCCCCAGCGAGCCGGAAGCCCTCCAAGCACTTGCAGACATATGACTCGCCACTGTTCACACAGATGTGCTCACAGCCATGGTCCACTGCTTGGCAGACGTCTTTCCCTGGGGGCAGCAGAGCAAGTTAAAGCATTTCATTAACATAAAGTTTTCCCCAGGGTTCATCAACCTCCCGGGGTCCATTCGTGTTGGCCCCGGAATCCAGAGCCCTTTGAGCCCAGTGACCCTTGGGAAAGAGGGTGAAATTGAGGCTGCAGGTCAGTGGCTCCAATTTGGGCAAACTCTCCAGAACCTCCTCACCGCCATCCCCATCCTCCTTCCCTAGCATCTAATTCGGGGTCTCATAAAAGTGCCATCCATCACCAGCTTTCTGCAGATGTACTTTCTGATATCAGAAGGGAAACATTTTTGGTATGATTGCTTAGAAAATTAAACCTCAATTTGGATTAGCAGCACTGAAAACTGATTTTGGCTCTGTCCCTGACACATGACCTGACTTGGGAGAATTACCTAACCCTTTGAAACCTTATTTTGCCCATCTGAATGAGAGTAATAATCCCAGTTACCCATCTCTGTAAACATGAGTTGTTCTTTGGAAAGTGCTTTAAGAAGCATTCAAAAAAGTGACCGATAGGGATGGAAATCACTTGCTCGGGGTCACGCACTTTCCTTTGATTATATGGAGACATGTCTGGCCTCATCTAAGAGGCTTTGCTTTCTGAGATATAAGAATGGCCTCATCATACGATGGTCTCTAGGAGGGTCCCAGGAACAACAATATTATTAGAAATAAAGAAACAAAGGCTCAGAGAAGTTAAGCAACTTTCTCAGCTAATAAATGGCAGAAATGGAAGTTGACCGAATCTTCATTTCCACTAACCCATGCAACTGAACCACTGCTTCTTGCCACAGGGCATAAACGAGCAACTTCAGCTGTAGCTCTGGCAGTGACTTCTTGCATTTGTGCATTCATTTGCTCTATTTCTAATAGACTTTATTATTTAGGACAGTATTGGATTCACAGAAAAATTGAAAAGATTGCACAGAGAGTTCCCATAAACCCCACACCCAGTTTCCCCTATAACATCTTCCATTAGTGTAATACATGTTATAATTAATGGGGCAGTGCTGATACATCAGCCAATATCAACCAAAGCCCACGGTTTGTTTGCATTTCCCTAATTTTTACCTACTGGCATTTTTCTGACCCAAGATTCCATCCAGAATTCCACATTGTGTGTGGTGGTCACGTGGCACTGAATTCGGGAGTAGCCGACTTACACAGAGATGGGGACGGTGGAATTCACGTGAGGACAGGCACACAGACGGGAGCCAGCGCCAAGGAAAACTTACTTCTGCAGGTTTTCCCATCTTCACGGAGTATATACCCTTCAAAGCACTGGCACACAAAGGTGTCTTCACCGCTTACACACGAGTGTTCACAGCCGTGGTCCCCCGAGGCACATGCATCCAATCCTGAGAACCCCAGTGGAATCGGAGAAACAGAAGAAGGGACTGACTCAGACGTCCGTGACTTATTCAATCTCAAACGACATTTCAGACACCCTAAATTAAAACAGTATCTACTTCCACAGTGCGCATTTCAAAATAGAAAGCACATCTGTAAGCAGAACTCCCTAACATATAAAGAGCAAAAAAATTAAACAGTATCATCATCTTCATAGGAAAAATGAACAAAAGACCTGAAAAGACAGTTTTACAAAAGGAGAGATACAAGCGGCCTATAACTATTAGAGAATAAGATCAACTTCATTGGCTATCACATAATGTGGATAAACTTATCTACATGTCTACTTAGCTATGCCTTCATGCATCACCCGGCACACTTTCTGAGTGCTCTTGCACTTTCATAGTAGTGGCTGTTTTGAAATTTTATTGCGTGCATTCTTTAAAAGTCCGTGGAGAGTTTGGGTTTTTAACCTCTCCCCTGCTCACCCCCTCAGAGTGTCTGATCTAGAGGCAGTAGTGCAGTGATGAGTTCTCAACCTCAGCACCGATTTAGTACCTGCACACGGCAGGTCCCCTGGTGAGTACCCATGGAGCAAAAGGAAACATTTACTCAATTTTCCACTCTGAAAAGTGAGGGTGACCAGACCCGCCTCCTGGGGCTTTTGTGCAGACGTTTTAACTAAGAACCAGTAGGGCGAGGGTGCTGGGGTCAGCTGGGCTCCCCACTCTCTCCCAACACCCGCCTGGCAGAGCGCACAATTCCTATCTGTTCAGCAAAATGTCCAGCTTCGGCATGTCGGGGATGCTCTGGATCACCCATAAATTAAAGAACTACACATGGGAAACTAGAGAATGCCAAAGCTGTACTGTAGTTTACTTCCTGACCACAGGATCTCGCGGCTTTCTACTCACCAAGTCTGGAAACCAACCTGGAGCCAGCTTCTCCTGGGAGCCAAAGGTACTCCCCTTAAGGAAAGTACTTCAGTGGGTCCCTAACAGGCAAAGAGCCATAATCCCTGACTCATTATTGTGGGATACCTCAGCCTTGGGAGAACTGTGGGCACCTCAGTGAGAGAGGTTCATTCATTCAGCAAGTGTTTATGGAGCACTCACTCTGTGCCAGACACTACATTTTCGGGCTGAAAGGGATCTTGAAGATGGACTGCTCAATCCTTTTGTTTCAGAGTTGAGAAAACTGATGGCCAGAGAGTGACCTTCCCAAGGTCCCTTAACCTGCAGAGGTAAACTGGTTCAGCTGTGCTGGGCAGAGGAGTGATTAGCTCACAAATCGATCACCTCCGTGCTCCCTGGTCCACTGCCTCCAGTGGTCATCGCAGGTCAGCAGAGTCTGCTCAGACCGGCTGGGAGACTCTCAGAAGACAAATTAAAATGGTTTTCTCAGGGAGGCGAGGCCTCCAAGTGGTTTAAAGTAACCCTAAGTGCCGTAGGTGATCTGTCGCTCCTGCTTCTCCAAGCCCATCCGTCACCGGTTCCCCTCAGGCACTCAAAAGTCAGTACTCCCTGGACCTGGCGCAGACACGTGCTGATTCCTGGGCCTCGGAAGGGCTCCCCACTCCATCTCGGTCCGTGGGTGCCGGAACAAAACACCACACACTGGGTGGCTCTTAACAGCAAAAATGTACTGATCGCAGTTCTGGAGGCTGGAATTCTGGGATCAGGGTGCCCATACGGCTGGGTGGGCCCCCCACACACACACATCTCTGACTTTTGGTTGTGTCCTCACAGGACAGAAAGGACTAAGGAGCATTGTGGGGTCTCATTCATAACAGCACAAATCCCATTCACAGAGGCTCCACGTTCATGACCTCCCAAGGAGGTAATCACCTCCCAAGGGCACTGCCTCCTAACACTATAACTTTGAGGGGCTCAGATTCCAACATAAAACTTTAGGGAGGACGCAGACATCCGGGCACGAACGCCCGCCATCTCCGGCTTGCCCGCTCCGCCAGCCTCTAGGTGTCGGACCAAACGTCTCTCCCTCGGGAGGCTTTCTCTAGACCAGGTGACGGCCCCCCTGCCACGTGCTCTTGTGGCACCTCTTCTCCCCGCATCGCAACTCTCTTCACCCGGGACGGATGAGATTATGTCTTTAATATATCTCTTCCCTGAGACATTTTAAACTGTGCCAGGATGGAGCCTGAGCCAGCTTCCACCCCAGGGATGCCCACACTCAGCACGACATGCCCAGCGCACTCTCTCCCAACACCTGGGACTCAGTGCAGGTACGGGGTCGATACGTGTGGGGATGAGAACAAACGCAACCTGCTTAAAGAAGCAGCTGGACCCAAATCCGGAGACGAGAGTGAGCACAGACCCAACCGGGAGCCACCACCGAAATGAAATGGACGAGAGGACTCAGGAGAAATCGAGGGACACAGGAAGAAAACACGTCCCTCTAAAAGAAGGGTCTTCCTGCTTTCACACCGAGGGGGCAGGCCCACACGCTTCGTCACGCTTTCTGCCAGATGGCACCCGCCGACCGAGGGTCTGCCATCTGGGATCAGGATGACCAGAAGTGTCAGGGCACAAAGCAGGTTTTCAGGGTCCCCTCTGGCAGCCCCGTGTGTTGACACAGACTGTGCTCTCCACATCTGGATTCCACACCTAGCGAGTCACGTACGTCTGGGGTACGGTAATTGTGGGGTAATGCGTTCTGTGGGCTTGCACTTCGGTGGCGATGACAGGCAGCAATCCTGTGCCTGGGGCTCCACGCAGGAGGTTATTAAAACCCACCCCAGCTCCAGAGGGAGAAAGCCACAGTGGCCGCCGGCGGAATGACAGTTTTCTGGCTCTTCTTGGAATCCAACTAGGAGCAGCCAATCGTTTGCTAACTCTGTAAAGGCTTTCGCTCAGACAAACCAAGAAGCAGCTGAACTGAGCTGTAATTTTAAAGAGCATCTTACTCACTCAAGGCAAGGGATCCAACATTAGGCAACCTGGGTTCTGGTCCTGACTCTGCCACCAACCCCCGGGCCATCCTGGGTGCCAGTGTCCTACCTGGGCCTGTTTCCCACAAAAGCAAGGAAAGGTCTCTAAGCTTCCTGCTGTTCCATCAGACCTATAATGTGGACTGAACTGTGTCCCCTCCAAATCGGTCTGTTGCGGTCCTACCCCCCAGTGTGATGGTAATTTGGAGGTAGAGACTTTGGGCATTATTAGGTTTAGATGAGGTCGTGAGGGTAGAGAGCCCATGACAGGATTGGTGGCCTTATGCGAAGAGCTACCAGCGAGCTTGTTCTCTCCTCTCTCTCTGCCACGGAGGACACAGCGGAGAGAAAGCTTCTCACTGACCCCGACCAGGCAGGCACCTTGATCTCAGACTTGCAGCCTCCAGGACAGTGAGAAAGACAATTTCTGTTGTTGAAGCCCCCAGTATCTTGCTACAGCAGCCCTAGGAGACCGCTGCACTCCCCTCACCTTGCTCGGGGCTGCTTCTGCCCTTCCAAGTCAAGCTCAGGGATCAGGCCCTGACAGGCCTTCACAGACCCGCCTAAGGTGGCTAGACTAGGGGACCCTGACTGGGTCTATCTATTCCCAGCGCTCTATCTTTGTGACTCAGACCCCCACCAAAGCTCTTCACCTGTCAGAGGAAGGTGGTCTTCCTAGGGCCTCCTCAGGCTCCTGAGTCTGACCTCTCCTGGGTAACCTCTCCTAGGGGCCCCTCCAACAGGAGCAGGCCAGGCCCCAGGATAGTGGGGGCTACTTCAGCCTCCTTGGCCGGGAGGGTGCAGCCTAAAGGTGGGAGATAAGACCACATCACAGTATCTTTGGGGTTTATGGCACGTTCCCAAAGCTCTTCAATGAAAGTCTCTCCCTGTGCCACATGGTAACCTTGGCAGAAAGGCAGTAACGATCACTCTCAGCTTACAGCTCAGTGATCAGATCCAGAGATGGTCAATTCCCTTGCCCAGGGTGGAAGCCACAAGATTTGAACCTAGTTTTGGGACTACTTGTTCAGTGTTCTTTCTACTCTGCCAAGTGTTTCTTAGATCTGTGGACAGAGAGCCTTGAGGTGAGGCTGGGGCAGCAGAATGCTGTGGTAAGGTCCAGACCCCACCTGCAAGGGGTGTAGGAGAGAAGCTTCCTGAGGGGGCAGGCAGGAAGTTCCCCATAGGTGTGTGGGGGGTGGGATATCAGCCACAGGCTGGGTTCCCACCAGCAGAGGGGGAAGAGAGTGGTTTCCTAAGTGAGCACAAGATGGACTAATATCTGCTCGGAGAATCTGGGGACTCACTCTCCTGAGGAACTACAGGATTAAGGAAGACTTAGGATGGGGCTCCGGGGGTGGAGGAAAGGGTTCTCCAACACTGCCAAATCAAGGAACATGACTGGAAATTGATTTTGAGAGACAACGGAGAGTCATTGATGGATACTGAGCAGGGAGTGGACCCTGTGCCAGTTACTATATGACAGAAAGACATTCACTCTGACATTCACTCACTGCACTTTACTGAGCATCTCCCATGGGCCAAATAGGACCTGGTCTCAACCTCCAGGAGCCGGCAGGCCAGTGGGCTGTGTTCTGTGGACACAGAATCTAGCCCGTGGAGTCTTTCTTGATGCTGGTACCCTTGTGAAAGGTCTATCTCAAGGACATTTCCAGGGGCCAGAGTGGGGAGAAGGCCTCCCAGCTGCAGCACCCCCTCCCACCAACATATGCACCAACTCCCCCAAAGCAAGGCGGGCTCCTGGGCAGAACCTAGGCAATGACATCTTGGGGGCCAGGGGCAGGAGGGAGGGAGAGTAGGCCTCACTGCAGGTTCTGTAGAGCCCAAGGGGCCTGCAGGGCTATGGGGGTAACAGTGCCAATTAGTCTATGCTTCAGAGAACCTTCTGGAAAGTGGGTGAAGGGTTCTTCAGGTCACCTGCTATAAAAGCTCTAGGGAGAGGCTGCCTTGACAAAGGACAAGGACACCTTTATCAGCTGAGCCAGACCGGGGCGACCCCCAGTGGGCCCATCCACAGTCCAGCAGGTTTTTCAAAAAAAAAAAAAAAAGGTGCAGTCACATCATCAGGATCTTTGTCATCTGGCCTAGAGCTGGCAAACACACTCCCCCCTCCCCAGTTACCTATACCATACTGGAAACACAGCCCATTATTACAAGAGGGGCAGCCAGGCTGAATCATCCTGGGGCAGACAAGAAGCCTTCAGTTAGGGGAATAGCTCAGTGCATAGGTAGCAGCTGGTGTCTCCTAGGTACCCCCATTCCCTGAGGATAATTCTAGTCTGTCTGATCATCTCACAGGTTTTCGTATAGTCACAACCACATACAAGACACACATCAAAATTCACTTCTAATTGCACTGTTCACCATTTACTCTTATGGATGATGTAACTGTACCAGTAGCTGCAAACACACTTTAAATTTAAAAATGGGCAACATTTAAAAGTGTCAGTGGCATAACCCAGACGTGGACCTGGGTAGGGAGGGAGTGGGAGCACGAGGTTCTATGGAAAAGCGGCAGCATTTGTTTGGAAGGGCTGTGAGAATTTCTTTAGAAGGCCTGCAACCGTCTTCGAGTCAGCTCTTGGTGATCACAGTAAGAGAGAAGGAAGGGCGTGAATAATCTAAGATGGTGGGGAATTTAAACGAACCAGTGAAAAACCATGCATCTGGCTTTGGCAGGCGGTCAGACGTCGCTACAATTCGACACACCCGTCCTCTCACTGCACCCGCCCGCCCACACCCTCCTGTGCTGGCTGGAGCAGCAGTCCAGGAGGCGGCTGGGCAGGCGGCCACAGGCATTAAAATGGATAATCCGTTTGCCAAGATTCAAGAATCTGTCTCAAAGTACGGAAACGTTCCTCACAGGCTGCACAATTAGGGAGGCACACCCCGCTGGGCAGTCGGCTCACCTGGCCACGTGAGTGGACCAAATAAAAAGGTGGATAAATTAGTTTGTGGCACAATTGTATCAGTGGTCGGGAAACCCAACCCTATAACCAGCAGGATGGGGAGGGGAAATTACAGTCTTTTTTCTCCACTTCTGATCCCTCCTCTCAAAATGACTTTTTTTAAAGCCTTTATCTTGGAAATGGAATTGCAGGGCAGAAAATAGCATATTTTTCAGTGAAAGAGAGAGAAAGATCTAGCGGGTATTTTGTTTGATTTTGGTTTAAATTAACAGAGACTGAAAATGGGACCAGCTGCAAGGAAGTATGTACCCAGGAAACATCACGCCAACCTCACCACCTGAAGCCAGATGACCTAGATGGGGGGAGGGGAGGTTTCTCAGGAGCCCCCCTCATCCCAGAACTGCCTTTGGAGTCACAGGGACCAGAGACTGGACCCGCTTCTAACAGCTGGCAACCACAGCCTCTTTACTGATCTGAGCTGCAGTCTCCTCACCGCAGGATGGGGATTCCACGGGGCTGCAGGAACAGGAGGCCTGTATCAGCATGAAGGCAGCAGTCAGTAAGGGGTTCACTGTGCCATTCTTGTGCAACCCTGGCTGGCTTCCACTTCCACCCAGATTGAAGGGTTAAAGAAGTGAGAGCTAAGAAATGGGGCTCTCTGTCCAGCCCCAAAGCAACCATGAGGCAGTCTGTGGGAACAGAGAAAGCCATCTCTGGTGCTGGAAAAGGAAGCTGGGGGCTGGGGGCGGGGCGCGGGTAGAGGGGGCAGCATCGCGGGTCTCACATCACTGAGCGAGGCCTTTCTGCACATTGACTCTGCTCAGCGACACCAGGGGAGGGAAGCACGGAACTACCTGTCCGTCTCTGCACCTCCCCGGGAATTACCCGTCGCCCGGGGGCCGCCTCTGCCAAGGCCCACTCGTCCCCAGATCTGAGAACACTCACTGGCACAGGTCTTCCCATCACTGCGGAGTACGTGGCCCTCGGGACACTGGCAGGCGAAGGATGTGTCCGTGTTGACGCAGGCGTATTCACAACCATGGTCGCTCAACAAGCAATAATCAGCCCCTGCAAAACCCAACAGCCAGGCGAGGTGGTCGGTGGGGCCTGTGGGCTTTTCCACGCCACCTTGCCCCGGGGCCTGTCGTCACCCGGGGACATCCCCCTGATCTCCCCGGAGCAAAGGGCAGAGGAAAGAGGGGCCAGGCGCTGTCCTCTGCAGTGCTCACACTTTTCCCTCCTGCTGCAAACCTCCCGCATCAGAGAGGGGCGGAGGGAGACTCACGGGAGCAGGTCCTGAGGTCCTCGTTGATGAGGAAGCCTTCCGAACACTGGCAGACGAAGGACTCCTCTGTGTTGAGACACAGCTGCTCGCAGCCATGGTCCTGCTCCGCGCAGTGATCCACGCCTGCGGTTGTCACACAAAAACAGAAAATAACAATAACAGGAGGGGCATTGCCCACCAGCGACGGGCATTCAATACAAAACCTCCTTGGAAGGAGCCCCTGAGAGCCATCTCACTTTATTCTACCCTGTGTGGCTGGCCTCTCTAGAACATCAGGCTCATTTGCTTCTCTTCCCGCATCGTTGAAGAGCAGAGCACACACGGCACAGCCCAGGTCAGAGCACACATGGTCAGCACACATGTTCCTGACTGCAGCCCTCTTTGCCGAGGGCCCGGGCACGCACTCAAGTGCTCCAGGCGGTGTTGAGAACAGATGCGAACCCCATCTCACCGGGAGGCCAGAGAGGCTCAGGAAGGCCCAGCTGCCTGCCCAACGGCGCACCGCCGACAGAGTCATGCCGAAGAATGAGCTTCCTGGCATCAGACTACTTGGGATCAAATCCCACCCCACTGTTTCCTGACGGGAAACGGGATGATGACGGCTGCTTTCTTAGAGGACTGTGGTGGGAAGTCAGTGAGCTGCCACGCGTACTGCTCAGAATCGTCGCTGGCGCCCAGTCACCTCTTAATGAATGCTTATGATTATTATTAAGTAGTGGTGAGTAAGAATTAATTGTATAGTTTCATTTCCATCTGAGAATGAAAAAGAAGGTTCTTTCCCCCATAACCAGGACACCCAGATTCAGAAAGCCAAAGCCCTGGCCTGCATGGATGGTTGCCCCTGGCACCCCAGCACTGCACAGCTGGCCCCGCTGTTCCGTGGGCTCTGAAGGGCTGGGATCACACAGCTGTGTGAACGGCTCCCATGGACGGCCCTGCAGGCTGTCTTTCAGAGACTGGACAGACATTGGAGGCCCTGTGCAAGGCCAGCAAGTGAACTTGACTCCCACAGGGCCTGGCTCTCATGCCTTCTGGAACATTCTGCTGGTGGATGCGCCTACTGCAAACATTTGCAGGATCTCAGGAGACAGAGGCCTGTATTTACACCCTGCTTCCACCACTTACCAGTCATGAGGCCCCAAGAAAGCCAAGAAAGCTACTTAATCTTTTTGTGCCAGTTTCCCTATCTTACTTAAAAAAAAAAAAAAGCTTTAAAATTTTTTATTGTAGAGGCAGGGGAAGGGAGAGAGAAGGAGAAACATTGATTGGTTGCCTTCCTTACAAGTCTAACCCCAACCAGCGACCCAGACATGTGCCCGGACCAGGAATTGAACTGGTGACCTTTTGGTTTGTAGGATGGCGCCCAACCAACTGAGCCACACTGGCTAGAGCTTCCCCATCTTTAAACAGGGATGAGAATGTGGATGCTTCCTAAGGCTGTTGTGAGGATAAAATGAATGAATGCCTAGAAAATGCTCACAGCAGTGCTGCCCAGAGAGCGTGCCAGAGGGGCTCACTGTCTTGTGGCCCGGGGCTCTCTGAACCCTCAAGGGGAATAGGACATAGTGGCTTTCTCTGGGGACTCCCAGGAAGAAATGGCTTGGTTTATACATTCTTAAAGCTGACTAGGTGGTCCTTTTGATTAGATTCCAGAGAGAAAAAAATGGCCCAACTCTCTGTCCTCTCCTCTGAGTCCTTCTAAGTCCCCCAAGGCATGCTGGGAGAGAGAGGCAGGCCATGGTCCCTGGGGCTTTAAGTGGGCTCAGCCAGACGGTGCCCAGCCTGCCCCAGGGTACCAGCCACACTCCTGGAAGAAGGCAGAACGTGCTCAGATACGCCTTCACCAGGGCATCTCCTTGTCTCGTGGAAGACCTCCTGCTCCCCACTCACGTCTCAGGAGGGGACTGACTCAGAGACATCCAGAGGCAAATGCCACAGCGGGGCCGACCCTCTGGTTCAACAGTCCTCTGACCTCTGAGATCAGTCCTTAGAAAGCCAACTGGAGGCACTTTGTTCCCTCTGAAGACTAAACGGGCACAAGTTTTCCTGAGGACTCCGCTCTGCACCTAATACTTCATCTGGGAAATTTCCCCTCCTGGCAGTTGAAGGTCCAAATGCTGAACAGCTGCACTGTTCTCGTTCACAGGCTATCTCTGTCCCCCGAGCTGGAGCAGATGTGCAGCTTGCTGGGTGGAAAGCCACACAAAGGGCCCCTTCTCTGCTGGCGGGTCACCAAGCCCCTCTCCCGGCACCAGGGTCACAGGCACCCACTGCGGTGGCCAGGCGCCCCCACCCCCGCTGGCCTGGGCCAGTGCAGACTGGGCCTCGTAAAAGACGGAACCGTCCAGCTGGCAAAGCCTGCTAGTTTCCGTGCGTTTACGTCACCCATGGAGCTTTGTTGTGCCTCCTACAAAAGAAAATTAAGGAAAGGCTTCACCAAAAGTCCCGTGTGTCTCAGCTCCGCCCTCGGAGTAGCTCTGTGGTAGCCCAAGTGCCTTCCAAGCTCAGCCCCTTCCCGCCTCTCCTCCTAAGCGGAGGCCAGCACTCGCCCAGGCTCCGTGACAATAACAAACTATTATCCGTAACTGTATGTTTTCTCTGTGCTGGCCGCAGTGCTGAGAGATTGAAATGCTCCTAATCATTCCCCTTAACAACTCTGGGAGATCAGTCCTATTATTATCTTCACTTTCTTAAACAGATGGAGAAATCAACGCTTGACGAGGTGAAGTAAGTGCCCTCAGTCACGCATCTAGTTCGCGGTCGAGCTTGGACTTGGCCTCGGGACAGTCTGATTTAATCAGTGCTGTTGGGAGCACTGATTAATATTTATCGAGTGCTGATTACATGTTTCATAGCACTTTGCTGAGTGTTTTGTACATATCTATTATTTTAATCCTCACAGTGCAATCTATGAGGTAGGAAGCACTAATAGTCCCATTTTATGGATGATGAAATTGAAGCAAGGAAGGTTAAGACTCTTAGACCCTCAGGCCCACAGGAAATCTGGGGACTTCGGGAGTAGCAGCCTGCTAGTGAGCTTGGGGGCGCTGTGGGGCCCCTTCCCTCTAGTCAGCACCCCCCCCCCTCACACTTACGGCTGCAGGTCTTGCCGTTGGGGTCCAGGGCATAGCCCCGGTGGCAGCGGCAGTAGTAGCCGTCCTCTGTGTTGACACACTCGTGCTCACAGCCTGGCCTCTTCAGCGCACAGTAGTTGATCCCTGAGGGGAGAAAGGGCAGATTCTGCTTCAGGCCCCGGGCTTCTCCAGGGCGGTGAGGTCAGCCCCTCACAGGAAACGGTCAATAAGGTGTTCTAAAAAAACACACACAAAATACAGTTCCTGCTCTCCGGAGCTTGTTTAGAGGAGAACCTGGTCCCCAAAATGTATCCCTGGTGTCTGAGGCATGGGTCTTTTCCCCTTTGATGTCCAAAAAGCTGGGGGCCACAGTCCCCAGCCTCATCCCTTCCAAGAAAGATGGAAAAGCTGAGAAAATCCAGGAGTCTCTTTTTCCAATTAATCTGATCACTAGGGTTCCAAAACATGTGGGGAGCTGCCATCTGCTGTGGCATCTGACAGTGACATCAAATGGCACAACGCAGAATGAACAAAAGCTGATCTTGCAAGACAACCAGCTACTTAGAAGAGGCGGGAAATGGCAGTTACATTAAGAAGTGTCCAAACACTTGGGCTTGCTCTGAGTGAGACCATGGCAGCATCCATATCAAGAACCTGGAGCAGACCCACCCCAGACGCTGCCCAGACTGTTGTAGTTTTGTCCTATGGTAATACCCCATCCAAGCTAGTTAGCCATCTAGTTGCCTAGCAGCCAATGAGCAGTTTCGTTTCCTGGTAGAAAGTGCTAACACCCCAAGGCCTCACATAGAGCCGGTTATGGGAAAGATGGAGAACAGTAAGAGGGAACAGAATGAGCTGGGGGGGCTTTTATGAGACTGATGTTGGGAGGAAAGGTCGCCACCAACCTCAATGGCTGGGCTGGATCAGTTGAACTGCATTGTTCTTTTTTCTGCGGGTGTGACAGACACTGTTGGTTGCCTTGCCAACAACCATTACTACCCTGTTGTCTTGGGACCAGAGCCCTGATCCTCATGAATCATGGCTGGTCTAATCATCCCAGCAACCATGTTCTCCTTTGTCAGTGATCGGCCTAGGGTGGGAATGTGCCCTTGTTCTAGCCAATGAGACATAAGGAGAAGTTTATGGGGCCCCTAGGAAAAATTTTCTTTCCTGAAAAGACAAAGATGTATAAAGAGCAACATTCTGTTCTACCCTCTTTCTTTTCTGTCTTTGGGTCTAGTGGTGTGAGGTCATGATGCCTGGAGCTACGGGGGCTGTTTTATAACCGCAGGCTGACAAGTGTGAGGATGACACTCAACACACTTCAGCAGAGTAAAGGGACAGAAAGAGTCTGGGTTTTTGACAACATCACTGAGCCAACCCTGGGATCGATGACCTCTGGGTCTGGCAGGTGAAAGTAAATGTCCTTAATTGGCTTCAGACACATGCCACAACCTGGATGACCCTTGAGGACAGTATGCCAAGTGAAATAAGGCAGCCACAAAAGGACAAATATTATTTGAGATACCTAGAATAGGCAAATTCATGGAGCAGAAAACAGAATGGTGGTTGCCAGGGGTGGCGGGGAGAGTAGAGTGGAGTGTAGAGTTTTTATTGAGAAGCTACTATGGAGCCCATATCTGTTCAGTCTGGTCCCTAACTATGAAGTGCTACACATGGACCAGGCTACAGTGCAGCTTTCTCTGGTAAGGCCCCTCTGACATCAGATGATCAAACTTTCAGGTCACAAATTAAACAGAGCTTATGAGATGGAGACCATGCTGAGAAGGTAAGACAAAACAGTGATCCCGGGGAACAAATTATAATGCCAGCTGAGTGGCACAGGTAGTTCCGAAAAAAAGGGGACCAGCTACTAAATGTTAAGGCAGGAAGTCGTGTTCCTTCGGTTTAGTAAATCCAGGTACTGGTAAGAAAAGCAGTCTGTCCAAGGTCACGCAGCCAGTGTAGGTGACACTGCCAAGACCAGCCCTCACATGCCCCGGCTCAGTCCAATCGGTGGACCCCACCCTGGGTCTTTCGAGTGTGAGGTCTCCGGCTTCAGGGAGCACCAGCATGTGAGCACTCTGGAGCCACTCACATCTGATTCTGCCCCGGGGTCCCAGCTGGAAAGCCAGGCCAGTCCTGGTGTCTGTGCTTTGCACAGCCGCCTTAATAATTTATGCCTTAAATCGATGATAGCACTTTCCAGGAAAAGAAATTGTGCCCGGATGAGGAAGAAGAATGAATCCTTGCCAAGGGTCTTTTCTTCAGTAGGATTCTGCTTGAACTCCTCCCTCCTCAATTTAATTGAATGACATCAAATTCCTTTGAAAAATAGATTTTGTATTAGATTTGAAAATAGCCCACATCCATTAACCGCCTATTAAATGTAGATGGCTGTACTCTGATCTTGAGATCTATAATGCTCTTGAGATCCTCAGACTCCTAACAACAAACTTCATGTCTGAAACCCAATTTCTTTGCTTCCCTCTTGCACATAATGCTTTAGAGAGACAGTGAACGCTCGCTTTCACGAACAGCTGTCCACCACAATGGACTGAGGGCAAACATTAAGTCAGGGGCTGGGTCAGCAGCAAAGACTAGAAAATGTAACAACAAGGCAGGATGTTGGGAGAAGGGCTGATGAGGACATCGGGTTTCAGGAACGAATTCCGTTTCCTTGGATGAAAAAGTAGGGCACCTGGCTAAAGAGGAAATGGAGCTCTAACAGCTGAATTACAGGGTGGGGCAAAAGCAAGTTGGCAGTTATTCGTATGAAAAATATTAATTAATTAATTAACAAGTAGTAATGCAAGAAAAAAATCTGGGTTTCGTGTCCTCACAACTATAAACCCACTTTTGTCCCACTCTGTATGTTCAAGAGCATTAGGGACTCTGGGCTGGGCCAAAGCCCGCGAATGGCCTATCTGCGGACTGACCTGTGGTCAAACACTTCTGATTGGCCTCTTCCCCTGCACTTGCCCTCTGGTCTCGGCCTCCCTCCTCCTTCCATACTGATGTGTGCACCGCCTCCTCGGACCCTTCCCTGGTTCCAAGTGCCTCTCTGGCTGGGTGTGGAGGGAGCGGCAGAGGTGGAGGGAGTCTTAGATGAACGGGAGGAGACGCCGAGTTTCAAGCAGATTCCCTCCACCGATGGCCACATGCCTAGCTCATTTCCTCTTCCCTCCGTTAGTCACACAGTGCGGCTCGCAGTAACACGGGTGTCTGAGTTGAAGCAGATCTAATTATTCCCCACATAAGAGCTTTTGGCCCACGAGTATGAGTCCACCTGGGAGTGATTTTCCCTGGGTGTAGTCAGCCATGGACACATTCTCCACCAAAAAAAAAAAAAGATGTGAAAAGCAGAGAGGAGAGACCAGGCCAGGAAATCTGGCCCTCTAACATACTCTGTGCATGTGCGGTCTAGTGGAAATACTCCATCTGATTGTTTCTGCATTCCGAATAATCTCAGTTAAAATTCCCACTTCATGTGTGGATGTTTCCAGGGTTTGCATCCAGGCAAGCCAACGCACTTATCTTCTGTAAAAGAGGCTCAGTTTCAAAATATGGGCTCTGCAACCATCTATGAGACTCAACGCTTCCTAGAGTGAGTGCGTGAGTCAGTAGGTGCTGGCAGCAGAATGTGGCTTCTCTGGATTCCAGTTACACAGCCTACGGTCCTTTTCAAAGGAGATATGCAGCCAAACCTCTGAAAATTCAGTCCTGTGATGCAAAGTTGCCGCACCCATCACTAGGAAGGAGTGGGGGGAGGAGCCCATGAGTGTACACACCCCTAAATGGCAGCTCCCGAGAATTCTGTGTGCCACACTGTCAGGAAGACGAGAACAATCCAGGGTGTCTAAGTGTGGACTGACTATGAGAATACTTTTTGAAAAAATTCACAACCTTCATGCCTTAAGAAGGCCATCTTTCCAACAAGATTTAGTAATTCAAATAATAATTGCAATTTCTCCACGATGACAAATCTCAGGGAGATCCATCCATTCATTCATTTAATAAATACTTGTCACACCTATATGTACCAACACTTTGAGTTGTTGAGGATACAAGAGTCAGAAAAAGACAAGCATCTTTGTCCTTGTAGACTTTTCATTCTAGGGGTCTCTTAGGGACGGTCTAGTGTAGAGATCCCATTTGGGGCCCATGTTCCTTAAAGTGACAGATGAGAGGCATTTGAGTCACTCTGCACATCCTTCATATCATCCTCCTGACACCATGTCCTCCTTGAATGGTGCGGGGCTGCCCAGAGCCTTGTTTTTCCTCCCTTCATATCAAAGAGGATAGAGCTGCAATTTCCCTCTCAGCAGCTACCAAGTGTCTTATCTCGTAGGACTAGAAGAAACCCACTCCTTTTGCCTCCTGTCTCTGGAGTCTTCTTTCTCAAGGTCCCAAATACATGTTGTGGGGGTAAGAAGGAGGGAGAGAGCACCCCCATTTCAGATAGAGCTTCAGCTCGGGCCTCAGCCTTGCTATATGAACCCAATGGGCAGGCCCAGGTTAGTCGATCTCTAGAAGCCATCCCCATCACAGGATCACATGAGATAGAGATACAGTGAAGGGCGGGATAATATGAGGAAACATAAAAGTTGCACACAGCCCTGGCTGGTGTAGCTCAGTGGATTGAGCGCAGGCCTGCAAACCAAAAGGTAACCAGTTCTATTCCCAGTCAGGGCACATGCCTGGGTTGCAGGCCAGTTCCCAGCAGGGGATGCATGAGAGGCAACCCTACGTTGATATTTTTCTCCCTCTCTCCTTCCCTTCTCTTCTAAAGATAAACAAATAAAATCTTTTTTTAAAAAGTTGCACACAAATATACCTTATTAGAGATTCACAAGGAAAAGGAGAATTAGTGGGCATTTAGCAGTGCAGCCCTTTCTCGACATGCAGGGCCACTTACTTCTGCAGGTTTTCTTATCTGGATTCAGGGTAAAGCCTTTTAGGCAGCGGCAGGAATAGGAACCATCTGTGTTAACACACTTGTGCTGACATCCGTGATTCCGGGAGGCACAGTAGTCTATCTCTGCAAAGAGAAAAAAAACATTAATAACAAACATAGCAATGAATCTAGCACAGGGAAGCGAAGGGATTTTCATCTTAACCTTTCCTAAACGGACAGAATCCTGCGACCTCAAACACTAATGCCACAAAGAGCTCTCTCTGTGAAGCTATTTCCATGTTTAGCGATATGGCACCTTGGAAGAGAATTTTCTTGACATGTTACAAAACATTTATACAACAAAGCAATTATGAAAATGCTTTCCTTATGTTGGTTCACGTAAGAGCCCCTAAAGTGGGAAAGTATGACTGAGTGTTGTTTTGCTGTGTTACCAGCTAGGAAAAGAGAGTTTGGTGATGTTTCATGGAATTAATGTAATTAGAACAATGACATCGTCCCAAAGCAAAGCTCCAAGCCACTTAAATTCCCCACCACAGAGCCAACCCACAGGATAGAAAATCACATCCTGGGAAAAGGAAGGCTCCATCCATATTCTAGGTGAGAAAGACATAGATATTATGCATGCAAAACACTTCCCTTCTTACAGCTGCATACAGGCGGGGTCGCTCACCTCCAGGTTTCGTGATCAGGGAATGTGATCTCTAGGTATACGTTAATTTAAATCAAAGTACCCAGAGAAGAGTTTGCATGGAATTTTTCATAATGGGCTTTTACTTATGTAAGTATTTTTAGATATGGGAAGAGACCATTCTATTACATTTAAATTTTGCAATCAAAACATTTTGCTATAGTGGAACTTGGACGCATTGTTAGAAATTTCTTGAAATAAGTGGCCACTGACGGGGCCTTAAAAGAAATCTTTTGATTTGATGAGGATTTTTATTGTCTTATGGAACTTGTGGACTACGTATATTATTTTCATATAAAGAATGTGGTATAAATGAGTTTCCCCTGCCTGTACTAAACAAAAGAAAGGCATAGAATATCCTTTAAAAAAATCCTCACTCGAGGGTATATTTATGGACTTTTTTATAGAGGGGGGAAGTGGGGGAGAAAGAAAGAGAAAGAGTATGTGGAGGGGGTACGGGGGGGGGGGCAGAGAGAAACACTGATCGGTTGCCTCCTGTGCAGGACCTGACCGGGGACCGAACCTGCAACCTAGGTGTACGCCCTGACCAAAAGCTGCGATCTTTTGGTGTACAGGACAACACTCCAACCAACTGAGCCATCTGGCCAGAGCTTGAAAGAAAAAACATTGAGAAGATGCCAATTCTTCCTAACTTAAAGTCATGGAAATTTTAAACATATACGAAATGGATAGAATAGTATAATGAACCCTTGTACATATCACTCAGCTTCAAGAGAATCAATCTATGGCTGACCGGGTTTCATCTACACTGCCATCCTCCACATTAAGATTCTACAGCACTTTGGAGCAAACCCCAGGTGTAATATAATTTTGTCCATAAATATTTCATAATGTCCTTAAAAGACTGGAACTCTTAAAAATATAACTACAGTATCATAATCAGATATAAAGGTATTTAAAAACTTTTTTATCTGAAAACTATTTTAAACTTACAGAAAGTCACAAACATAAAAATACAAGTATATGAATAGAAGAAACACCTATATACTCTCTGCCCACATTTCATCTATTGTTACATTGCTTTATCATTTGCTCATTTGAGGGTGAGTTACACCCATCACGGTCCAAATACAGTGAGTTACACACCAAATACAGTGTGTGCTTCCAAAGAGGAAGAATATTCTCTTGGTGTAGCTATAAACTTCATAAATTTACATTGACACAATACTTTTATTTAACCTACCATCATGTTCTAGACTTGTCAGTTGATCTAATAATGTTTTTTTATAGCAATTTTCACCCTCCAGTACAGGATCCAGTAGTATAGGGTCAGAGATTATATTTAGTTTTCATATATGCTTAGCCTTCTTTAATCTACAACCATGCTGTCTAATGAGGCACTTAAATGAAAATGGATTCAAATTAAATAAAATAAAAATTCAGTTCCTGCCCTGGCTGGTGTGGCTCAGTGGACTGAGTACTGGCCTGCAAACCTAAAGGTCACCAGTTCAATTCCCAGTCAGGACACATGCCTGGGTTGCAGGCCAGGACCCCCATTAGGAGTCACGTGACAAGCAACCACACATTGATGTTTCTCTTCCTCTCTTTATCCTTCCTTTCGCCCCTCTCTAAAAATGAATAAATAAAACCTTGAAAGACATGTTTTTGATAATGCTGAAATGACACATGAAAATGCTCATCATTTAATGTCATACTATATGACCTAAACTACAAAATATACTCATATGTATAAAAATAGAAATACAGCAAATTGATATTAACAATGGCTATCTCTGGATAATAAGATTATAGATCATTTCATTTTATATAATTTCATATCTATAATATCCAATTTTCTACAATAAACATATATTGCTTTGGTAATATAATTGAAAAGTATTAAAAATAAAAATACACATTCATGATTGTGAAACTAGTTGCCATGGAAAATGGCAGAAATATCATAGAAAAAAGAACATTATGGGAGATACCCAGTAATTTGGAGAGAAAAATACTCAGAGAATATTATTGGGAATTACATGTAAATCTTCAGATCTCTATATCCAGAACACAAAATACAGGCAACAAGCAAAGCCATTTTAGAATCTCCACATAGCTGAGTGACTATGAGCTTACGGGTATACCTGGAATTTGGGTAGATTAAGAAGCAAAGGTATCAGTGCGGAGAGGGCAGCCTATATGTTCTGTGGACCACTGGTTCTGTGGACCAGTCTGTTCTGGCCATTCAGACTTTCTTGCTGTCTGTCCCTCAACCTTGCCAGGTCTCACAGTTCTTGCCTCAGGGCCTTTGCTCCAGTTCTGTGTTTCCTCTGCCTTGAAGGTCTCCTCTCACGCTCATGTCCTTCAAGTCTTTAATAAATTCGTCACTTTCTCATTGAGACTGGCATTCTACTCTCACCCTGCTCCAATGGAATGTAAGCTCCATAAGGGCAAAGGTCTTTTGGTCTGTTTTATTTATTGCTTTATGTCATTTCTACAATAGTACCGGGCACATAGTAGATACTCAAAAATATTTCTTGAATGAATAAATGGTTATTGGTATTACTCTTAATAGAGTGTTTTGTGGGGTTTAGATAAGTAAACATTGCCCACCAACTACCACTGAGGGCTCACTGAGAGTGGAATGCAGGTCTCATGACTTCCTTGAGGCTTCTTCCCAACAGACTATTTCAAAACCTCCCTCTAGAAGGATCTCAGTTCAGCGATCAGCATCCTCTGAGGTTCGGACATTCAGCCAGTTACAAACCCAACCAGTAATTATTCTTTCATCCAGTACACATTTCTCTATCTGGTCCACAGGCCCTCTCATTGCTAATTGATCAAATGCCTAGTAAAGTCTACTAAACGCAGACTATTCAATGGGCATATTTTCCATGCCTGCCTAGTCTACTAAATGAAATACAATTATTCTGCTATGAGTCATTCTTAGTGACCAAGAAAATGTGAGAAGTTTAATTTGTTCTGCAGGTCTCAAAGTACAAGGAAGTTGTTACCAATTCAGTTTAAGGAATGATTTTCTAAGAGTCAGTATTGTACAAAGTGCAATGCAAAGAATGCATGGGGTGTAGTGAGTGTCACGTCAGTGGGGTTATTCAAGGCTGGAGGTGCAGGGTGGAAATATTGTACAATGAGTGGTTGAACTAGAACTAGGTTGAACTTTAAGTGCCTCTCCAACAGAGGGTCTTTGATTCATATGCACAGGTCTCACACGTTACAGACTGTAGACATATTACAGACTATAGAAAGACAGGGCCACTCTGCACGTTAACGGTGAGTTAGCCAGAAAACCTGAAGGCTAATACATTCTAGTTCTTCTATTAGTGACTCAGGATTAAATTATTTCTTTTTTCTATGTTTAACTTTTAATGCTAGTACAAGTAATTCACTTAGTACTTTCAAAAGAGTGAAGCACTCTTTTTGAAAAATAAGGATGGAAATATCCACCAAGTTATCAATAGAGTCTGAAAACTAATGGGTATAATGATCTTGAAGTCTGTAAACAATAAATAGCAACATGAAAAATATGATGCCTACAATTGCCTCTAATCATCATTAAATGAATAAGCATTAGACATGAAACCCACAGTCTCCATGATACCAAAGACACAAATCCCCGTCCAATGGGCTGAAGTCCTTTATCTTTCCCATGAAAAGACCCTGAACATCCATCTAAGAATGTTCTCATGCCTGCTTCAGGAGTAATAATTTCAAATCATTACTTAGACTTCACAAAGTATTGCCACCATGTGTTCCAGCAATTCCATTTCTGGATACACACCTGAACTCGGGTGACAGCAGAAACTTGAACTGATAACTTGCATACCCACGTTCATGGCAGCATTACTCACAATAGTCAAAGGTGGAAGCAACCCAAGAGTCCATTGACAGATGAATGGATAAACAAAATGCCATATATACATAGAATGGAGTATTAGCCTCAAAAATAAAGGAAATCCTGACACATGGTATAACCTGAAGATACCATGCTAAGTGAAATAAGCCAGTCATAAAATGACACACAGTGTACGATTATACTTATGTGAGGTACAGAGACTAGCCAGATTCACAGACGCAGAACACAGAATGGTGGTTGCCTGAGGCTGGGGAAGGAGGAGGGAATGGAGAGTACTATTTGATGGGCAAGGAGTCTCAGTCTGGGGAGACGGAGATGTTCCGGAGCTGGACGGAGACGATGGCTGCCCACCACCGTGAATGGACTCAATGCCACTGAACTGCACGCTTTAAAAATCGCCATGGTAAATTTTACGTTATATATGTTTTACCAAAATCAAAAAAGTCTCGTCCTATTTTACAAATGGATTGCACTGTAGCTATGTGGGTGGACCCGCTCCCCTCTGGAAAATATTCATATACATTTGGACGGGTTGCTTTAGGGCAAGGACTTGAGACAAAAGGCCATGCTCTTTTGAACACTATTTAAATATTTTAAGTGACATTATTTGTTTAGGAACACGAAGCTCTATTATGTACATTTTGGCTTAAGCATAAATTAATCGTGCTCAGTATATTCCATTGACTAGTCTACCTTTCATTAGACAATAATTGCATACTTACTAGTTGGGCTATCTCTCACATATACTTTTGGGTAAAAATAGACACTGAAATTTAAAAAACTAAGGACCTTTTATTATTTTTTTCATGTTTATGAGAAGTGAGAAATTTGTTGAAAATACAGCTTTTAACACCAGTGGCAGCCAGGCTGACCTGGCTGGAAACTATGGTGATGCCATATCAGTTCCTAATGGGGTGCCTGTATGAGCTTCCAGCTCCACCCCATCTTTCTGTCCTCGGCCCTATTTCCCAGTCTTCGTTCTTGTCCCTACGGGGATCTGGAGCACTGTTGATGTCTTGGTTCTTATAATCAGCCTTTGCTTCTTTATTTCCTACTCTCACAGCTTTTCAAGTACTCCAAGGTCTCCTTCCTCCTACCAGCTGCCTTCCAAGGTCTGATTCCCTGCCCTGCTCCCACACATGGTGGGAAGGAGAGGCCCTTCTTCTAGGGGGCATATCTCCCTGGAGCTGTCCACGCAGACCTCTCTGAATGCCTGCACTCATCTCTACCCATGCATAGGGGCAGCCCACTTCTGGGTCTTACTTAACTCTGGGCCCAAGACTGCTGCACCGCTGGGCTCCACGCCTAGTCAGTGACACCTCGCAGCTGGAGCGGTCCCTCCCCTGACTCTCAGCCAGACCTCCTCTCCAGCCCCCGCACTGCAGTATCTACTTCCAGAATCTCCTGGCCTGCATCATCTTGGGGCTTGTAATTCTCCACATCCCAGGAGATTCTTGGCTAGGAGGCATGTGGAACCACGGTGTGGGGGTGATGGCAGAGGAAGAAATCAAGTGACCCCAGCCAGGGAAAGAATTCTGTCCAGGCAGGAAGGAAACTAGATAGGATGTGTGTTTTTCCCTAGGCCTCATCCCAGGGACACTGCAGCATCCCTGCCTGTTCTAGTCCAGCTGGCCTCCTCCCTCCCTTAACTACTGCTGGGGGTCTCGCCAACATCACACTGTGAGCCCTCAGCCGTACAATACTTTGTGTGGTGACTGAGCTTCTGTGTGGCTTGTGTCCATAGCCAGCTTCCAATGGAAGCACAGGTCCGAGTCTTGAATTTGTTAACCCACAGTTAAATTTAGCTCAGGCTCACAGTTTATGCTCCATACCTACCAATTTAAAGCCTTTGAAGCCAGTATCATCCCTGAAAAGAATCTTCTCGGCACCAGGCAACTTGCTAAGTGGTTTATAGAGAAAACATTTACTCTTGAAGGCAACACTACGAAGTAGGCAATATTATCATCTATTACAACCAGGAAACTGAGGCATAGGATCACCCAGTGAAAAGGCCGAGGAGCTGGGATTTGAACTGAGGCTGAGGCTGCCCCTTTGATGGAGAGAACTGACTCATCAGACCAGCAACCACAATTCCCAAGCCATTACCACAGTGCAGACAGCTGGTCTATATAGTTCAGAGTATTCAGAAGGGAAAGGAGACCGCGAACAGGGCAGTCTATTCAACTCATTTACTTCTTCTCTCAATAAACAGCTGCATGCCAGTCAAGTGCCAGGTGTGGATATGCAGCAGTCTGGCTCATATCTTTGCACACCTTTCCCCCACTGCTACTCCCAGCTCATCTTTTTCTTCTCACCTGGTGATTGACAGCTCTGCCTCCAAGGTCTCTTCTCTAGGAAGGACCTTGCTTCTTTATTCATTGCTACTGGCACGTGGTTAGTGCTCCAGAAATGCATGTTTTCATTTAATGCGTCCCTTCCACTTCCATACTCCACCCTGCCTCCAGCACTGGTGTTTGTAAGCTCTCGATATTTAGGGATTGGCAAGCCAGTTTATGTTCTGGAGTTTAGGGGGATGCTTTAAAAAAACCCATGTAGGTATGTCCTGCTTTATGTGCTAGATGCATTTTAGAAAAATTATGGGTGCATGTACCTTTTATGAATGAAATCCTATTTTTTCATTGATGTTTGTTTTCATGATGACTTATTTTACATTGCTATTAAACTTCATTGTTATATGCTGGGCCCTAATACTTTGAGGATAAGCTACTTTCAAGCAAACCTCTCTATAGGAGTTTAATAACTCACACACAATCCCTTAAGTGCCGTGATGTACCTTTATATCTAAAAGAATGCTTTTGGAATTCCTTGATAAACTAGTGATCATCTTTAGTTTACAGATTTTTATGGTCAGATTTTGGGGGCGCAAATCAATTCTGATTTGTGTGTGTATAGTTCAAATCAAATAGAACTACGCAGCTAAAGCAAAAATGAGCACTTCTCTGCCAGCCACCCTCCCCCACCCGGGACGACCACACTCCTTCTGGCTCAGCAATTTTCCTGTACTTGTGTGGAGTCAGAGCTGAGGCCCACAAGCCACAAAGCTTCAATGAAAGTATTTCTTAAGCCCCAGTAATACTGATGGGCACAGCAAGGCTGAATCAGCATGAGGTAAGATAGTCTGACTGTGAGCATGCTCAGCAAATGCTGGAAGAACACCCCCACCTGCGGTCTCTGATTAAAGTTAAAAACCACCTTCATTATATGCCTTGAAGGGTGACATTGAGGTAGAGCGAGCTATGGTCTTAGGGCACGTAAGAAAGCCCTGACAAAGGGGGGACAGAGGCAGAAGGTACTAGACCCCCCAGCACCTCATCCTATGCTTCTCCAGACCTGGGATATTTCCAGGGCCATGGTGACCACAGCAATACCATCCACAAAGAAATGTTCTGGCTGTTGTTTGTGACTTACTTGAGCATGTCTTTTTATCTGGATTCAGGGAAAATCCTTTAGGGCACCGGCAAAAGTAGGAGCCATCAGCATTCACACACTCGTGTTCGCATCCATGGTTTTCTGCGGCACAGTGGTCCACAGCTGCACAGATTAAAACACAGGGTTTAAGCAGAAACACAAACTGAGGTAAAGGGAATGGTAGAATGGAAGCATGCTTATGATAAATACAAATAGGGATTAATATTGTTGCCCCAACGAGTATGAATAAATGAATATGAGCCCAAGGTCTCTCCTGTAAACACAAAAACCAGGAGCCTAGATGAAGCAATTTATATGAGAAGATAAATGAAAGAATATATAAACCATTGTGTTTAAAAGGTAAAGAAATGCAAGCCGAAACAATCGCAAGGCACACTTATGGCTACTAAACTGCAAAAACAAAGACGAGGTGAAATCAATGGCAACAAGGCAGCATGGAAACAGTCAGAGTCATTGATGGTGGGTAGCAGTCTCAACTGTTAAAAATTTTGGGAGGACATTTGATGGTGGTCGCTCTGGAAACTTGACCAAACAAATTGAAAAGAGGGGGACATTAACTACAAAACATACAGTGACAAAAAAGAATTCTGGAAAATAAGATAAAACTGAATGAGGGTAAACGGGTTAGTAATTTATGAGAAAATGCACTAGCCTCTTTCTCTTCAATTCTGCAAGTATTTACCGAGCACTGACCCTGGGCCTGGCTCTGCTGCAGGTGCTGAGGGTACAGCAAGTAACCAATCAGACAACAATTTCAGCCCTCCAGGAGTTCACGTTTGGATGGTGATGGAGCACAAAGAATAAGACAAATAGCACAGTCTCTTAGGAGGCAGAGAGTGTTCGGGAGAAGAATAAAATGGTGAAAATGAATAGAGACTCTGGGGATGTGGGAGGGAGGGTGTGATGGAACCAAAGTGTCAGGAAAGGCCTGGCTGAGAAGGTGGTGGGTAGGCAGAGCTTTGAAGGAGGCACCCGCAGTGAGGACACCTGGGAGAGGGCCCCACATCAGGATGGAGAGGCCAGAGGCTTTGGTTCGGTCTAAAGTCTAAAACACATGCTTCCAACTCGCCTTTTTCTAGAACGCTCTGCAAAACAGTATCCAGTGTTGGATCGGGCATTCATATGGTTGTACAGAAGAACTGACCTTCACTTAACCCTCTCCTAATCAATCAAGGCTTTTTATTAAAATTACATTTATGTGTTTTAAATAAAATGGTTAAGGTAGGTTTATACATGTGTTTTATGATTCTGCTCTTTGAATGACATTTCCCATCAATCAGCCAACCACAGGATAGGAAGGCTTCTCGGGGAACTCTGATTCCACGTGCTGGTTCTGTTTTCATGTGCATAGCCTCTGGGAAACTAAGGGGAGAGGAAAAATTGGCAAGGGAGGATTCAGGCTTTCCTCCTGGTCCAGAGAAACCCCACCATATGAAATCCCCACCTTGACCTCAAAGCCACTCACTGGGGACAGCAGATGAGACTGTCAGTACAGCGTTAAATGCGGAGAAGCCAACTTCCAGGTGTGTGAACCAAAAAGCTTTTTAAGGGCAAGAGAGTTTCAGCCCATTCAACTCTGTCATCCTTGGATGCGTGTTTTGGGTTTTTTGCGTAACTTCCCTGGTTGCAAAATAGTACTTGTGAAAAGAGAGGCCCAGTTTAGGGGGCAGATGAATGAAGATGAATGAAGGTGTATGACCAAGAGATGCCTCTATTATTCCAAGTCCTTATCTGCTTCAACAAAATCCTTTCTTGGTTACTTTGTCTGAAATTTCTACACTCTCCTTTTACAAATAGAAAGAGTACAGTAGTCCCTCTTATCCATGGGGGATACATTCCAAGACCCCCAGTGGATGCTTGAAACTGTTGATAATACTGGGCCCTATATATGAGGTCTGCCTGGAAAAAGTCCGGCTATTTTGTTAATATAATGAGAATGCTTTATGCAACATCAATGTAACCTGACAGCCAAGGAGAGTGGAATGGAATGTGCATGTGTGAACAGTGATGACTTCACTGTATTACTCAGTGGGGGTGGTATATGCCATTGAGTGAGGATGTGTACTGTGTGGTCATTGCATTCACAATGACTGAACGAGTATAGTAACAAATCTGCATTGGATTTTGTGTTAAGCTTTAACATTCTTTCATGGAAACTATTTGGGTAATTCAGAAGGCCGCAACTATGGGCAACTGATGACTGGCAGCTTCGTCACGACAACACACCTGCTCATGCATCATGTCTCGTGCAGTGTGTTTTGGTGAAACATCAAATCACCAAGGTGACTCAGCCCCACCACAGCCCAGATTTGGTGCTCTGTGATTTCTGGCTTTTCCTAAAACTAAAATCACCTTTGAAAAGGAAGAGATTTCAGACTGTTGATGAGATTCAGGAAAATACGATGGGGCAGCTGATGGCAACTGGGAGAACTGTGTGAGGTCCCAAGGTGCCAACTTTGAAGGGGACTGAGTTGTCATTGCCTGATGTACAATGTTTCTTGTATCTTCTATCTCTAAATAAATGTCTCTATTTTTCATATTACATGACTGGATACCTTCTGGACAGCCCTCATATACCATGTTTTCTCCTATACATACATAATTATAATAAAATTTAATTTATAAATTAGGCATAGTAAAAGACTAACAACTAATAACACAATAGAATAATTATAACAATATACTGTAATAAAAGTTATGTGAGTGTGGTCTCTCTCAAAATATCTTACTGCACTGTACTCTTGTGACATTGTCATATGATACAGCACCCACACATGAGACAAAGTGAAGTGAATGACGTGGGCGTTGTGACAGAGAGTTAGGATACTACTGGCCGTCTGACACCATGGCCCCTGAGTGACTAACGGGCAGTGTGCAAATCCAGCGTGGCTATGCTGGACAAAGGGACGATTCATGTCCCAGGCAGAAATGAATGTGACCACTCAAGGTTTTATCACATTACTCAGAATGGCATGCAATTTAAAACTTATGAATTGTTTGTTTATGAGGTTTTCCATTTAATATTTTCAGACCATGGGTGACTGCGGATTACTGAAACCATGGAAAGCAAAACCATGGATATAGGGGAACTACTTTAACTCCCTGTCTGTAGCTCCTCAGCCCTGCAGGCCACAAACTGCTGAAGTCTCAGGGTCAGAGCCAGTCTCAGTGTGGTCAGTCTCTGCCTCATATGTGAGAAGTCGCACAGTTGTCTTCAATGATAATACTTTGGAGCAAGGTAATAAAACCTAAAATTAACAGTCTCTGATTTACAATCTGGTCACATTCCAAAGCTTTCTCTGCAGGGATCAGTCTGCAAGGGGGTGGCTTTAGTAGAAACAAGGTCTGTTAGAGGGGAGCATTTGGGTTTCAAAATTTGTTGACAGAGCAAAAAAAACCAGACTTGTCATTCAGAGAAATGGTAGAACCAACGTGTTTGCTAAGTATGTATTAGACACACACAGTCTGAGTCACAAACCTCTCCCCTCCAGGCACATCTGAATTCCTATATGCAGAATTTTTAAGCTCAGAGAAAGTTTCTTATTGATTTTGATCACAACAGGTGAGTATTGTGAGCTGAATTGTATCTCCCCCTCCCCAAATCCCCATGATGAAACCCTAACCCCAAGTTGGTCAGAATGAGACTGTATTTGGAGGCAGGACCTTTAAAGTTGTGATTAAGTTAAGATGAGACTGGTAGGGTAGGTGGGTCCTAATTCAATCTGACTCCTGCCCTTACACAGAGAGAAAATTTGGACACAAAGAGACAACAGGGACGTGCTTACATAGAGGAAAGACCAGGTAAGAGGCAGCAAGAGGGTGGCTACCTGCAGGTCAAGCAGAGACCCTCAGTAGAAACCAAACCTGCTGACACCTTGATCTTGGACTTCCAGACTCCAGACATGCAAGAAATTAAATTTTTATTGTTTAAGTCACTCAGTCTGGTATATTATTATGGCAGCCTTAAAAAATAATATAGGAGATATCTAATACTTAACATCTTGAGGGGGAGGTGATCATGCTCCAAATGCGACAAACTAGCTGATGAACTAAAAATCTGACCTTTTAATGCAAAAAGCAATCTTCCCGTCCCTTGTCCCCAACTTAAATACCAACTGTCTCCTCCTCACTGAGGATAATTGATTTGGGAGAAGGTAGGAGAAAAACTTTGAGGCAGCAGTGATGCCTTGCTAAATTTCCACTCTGCTTATCATTCTGAGTATGGAACTCAATATGTTTTTTTAAATGACCAGATATTTGACATATTTTTAAATGCAAGCATTTGTAAGACAAAACTTCATAAAGGGTATAGAAATTAAGATTCAACTAATGTTTAGCAGTCGCCCATGTATCGGACTGTTGCAGGAGCTGGACTTATATTAACTCATTTAACCCTCACAACAACCCTTTGAGACCGGTGTCATTGTTCTCCTCAGTTTACAGATGCAATGACTGGAACACAGAGCGGCAAAGAGACTTGTAAAATGGAAGTGACAATATACCTGCCCCAGAAAACTATGACAATTATACATAAAGTAGTCGAACAGATCCTAGTACTTAGAAATCTTTTAAAAAGTACTTTTTATTCTTATCACAGTGCCTGTGTAATCATATAAGGTTTAACTTGGGGGTAAACGGTACCTTAATGCCATTCGTTTGCTCCACAATCATTTATTTGGCAATGCTATGTGTCAGGCATGTGCTAAGCCCTGGAGGGCGATGAGGAGCACACGCTGCCTGCAAGGCATCTTAGAGGAGAGGCGGGAAGGGGAAATCAAGGTCTTAGCCATTATTACCTAGGAAGTGAAAGTGGGAGGAACAACCTTCAGGCTTGACTTTATAGACATCTGTACTCTGACTTTTTTGTATTAATAAGAAAAAAATTGCAACTTAAAATACCATCAAGGGGAAAAGATTTTTTAAAAATGCTTGAGGTTGCAATCAATCACTCAACTTTAGTCAATGATTCAAAAAAAAATATGGCAAGTCCACTGATTGGAAGATGCAGGGTACAATGAAGTGTCCAAATGGCCCCTGTCGTTAAGGGTTTACGATCTGCTGGGTGGACAAGTTGAAAAACAGGACCGAAGTTAACCCTGAAGGACAAGGCTGTCAGTAAACAGCAGGTGAGCACATACAGCAGAAAATTCACTCTCAAAGATATAAATGGTCTTTGAAAAATGTAAGATTGACAATGACAGGTGATTACTAGACTTATCAGGGTGATCACTTCCTAAGGTATTCAAATGTTAAATCACTATGCCGTATACCTGGAACTAACATACAATTGTATGTCAACTATAATTAAAAATAAATTTAAAACAGTTTTTATATGTGCACTTCCGGATGGAAAATACCACAGCTTGCACTGACTGGTGTGGCTTAGTTGGTTGGGAGTCATGTCACAAAGCAAAGGGTCATGGGTTCAGTTCCCAGTCAGGGCACATGCCTGGGTTGCTGGTTTGGTCCCCAGTCTGGGCATGTGCAAGAGGCAATTGATGTTTCTCCCTCACATCGATCTCTCTCTCCCTTTCTTTCTCCCTCCCTTCCCATGTGTCAAAAAAAGAAAGGGAAAATCTAAAAAAAAAAACCAAACAAATCAATACGGCTTTAGTGGCAGTTGATGAATGACAAATACAGGGACTCAACTAAAACAAAAGGAGGACCCTAGTCAATGACCCACCCTTGATTACCTGAATGTGGAAGTGTTGATAAACGTAGTTGATAAATTTAGGCCACAGTGAAATGAGCAGTTAGGGAGATGAGACATTGGCACTTGAATTTAACATTCTGCAAACTCAAAGTGGGGTGATGTTGTCTGTCAGTCCTCAGTCTGGCTGAGAATTGAACTTCCCTGGAGGTCACAGTCATAATTACGGGACGAGTCAAAGCACTAGAACCACTGCCATGAAGTGGAAACTGAAAGCCCATTGCATCCCTTCAGCAGTAGCTGAAGGTGGAGAATCTCTACCAAATCTCTGTAAGTGAACACTTAAGGTTTGCTGTCCCTACTTCCTCACCACTTACTTACTGCCCCTTGAAATCGGGCCCTCTTGATCATTGTCAGTGGTCTCCTGGTCATCTTGGTGCCCCTGATGCCTGGCAGAGTGCACAGTAGAGGGTTCTGAAATGTTTGCTGAGATGAACCAGTTACTCAACCTGATGGCTTTCTAAGTTCTGTTCCCTTTGGCCTCCCTGGCGCATGACATTAATATTGGCTTGGCCTAGAAGTGCCCTGTCCCACCGCACTCCATGACTCTTCAGGTGTCTCTCCTTCACCACTTTCCTGCCTCCCCATCTCAGGCTGTCCGTTCGCAGATAATTTTCCTGCACCTACTTTTCCCTTTGCTCCCTACATGTGGCTACAGCCCAAGACTCAGACCTTCTCTCCCTGCTCACTCTCCACTTTAGACATCCAGGAAATGACAATAATGATTTGTATAGTAGTAGTAGTGATAAATTATCTGCTGTGTATTAGGAACTTTACTCATTATCTTATCTAATCCCACAAAATCTCTTTATTCTACATGAAGGATGAGAAAGCTGCAGAAGTTAAATGAGTTACGAGTTACACGAAGACACGTGACTAGCAAGTAGCAGAGCTGGAGTTGAGCCCAGGACTTACTCTACTGAAAGTCCAGATGACTTCAAAACAAAAACACATAAACATTTCAAATGAAAAGTACATGGAGATGAAAATTTAGAAAAACAAATGGGATGATGCTGCTTCCTAGCAGCATCATTGGTTCTACCCCCTCCCCGTTGAGTGACGGTTGTCTCTGCTCCTTCTTGACATGTCCCTGTTGGTGACCCACCTCAACTTTAGACTCACCTTGTTGAAAACTACTCATCACCTTTTCTAAAAAATCCATTCCTGTCACTCTTTCCTCACTGTCACCATCACTCTCAGAATCATGGAAGCTCAAACCCAGCAGTCACTAGTGACTCTTTCTTCCCCTCTTTATGTATAGCACCTTCTTTTATCCTTTACTCCCTCCCTTTCCATTCCCGCAGCACCTACTCAAACTCCGGCTCCTGTCCCTTCTAGGCCAATGATGACCATGGTCTCCCAACTGGTCTTCCCATCCCTCGCCACCTTTCTCCCGGAACCCACCCTGCAGTCTACCACAAGGTTACGTTCCCTAAGATGAAGCTTTGCATTTGTGGCTCCCAAATAAAGTCCTTCAGTAGCTCTTTGTCAGAGGTAAAGTCCAGACTCTTTGTCTGATTTTCAAAGCCTTGAACAGTCTAGTGTTAGCCCTGGTATCTTAAACTTAATCTCCTACCTCACATCAGCAGGGATTCTCTGCTTCTACTTTGCTGGTCTCTTCAATGTTTAAGTCAAGCTTAGGAACCTTAATGAGAGTGATCATATCACTTATTGTCAAACTGGAACCCCTTTGAAAGTGAGAGGGGGTGCTATTGAGAACTGAGCCAGCATAAACCGAGACTGTCCTGGATTAACTGAGATTTATGGCCGCCATATTCTTAATGTGCCCTCCCCATCTACTTATAAACCACAGACCAGCTTCTCAGGAATTATCCCAAGGTTCCTAGCAGCCACTGATCTCAGTCTCCTGCTCTAAGTCTGATAGCTGGGGGTCACCTTTGACAAGCCCCTTCAGGTTGATACCCTCAGGTTAGGCTGGCTGGTTAGCTTTCAATTTGGCGTTCTTCCTGTGAGTCTCTTCCTGACCTACCAGCTCCCAGGAGCACGGCTTGCCCCTCCTAGCCCAGCCTCAGCCCCTGAACTTTGAGGGCACTGCCACCTCCACACCATCACTGTCCCTCCTTGTCTCCCCTTGCCTTGGACATTTGTCCAAGTGCTACCCTTCTTTCCTTGCCCAGATCTTCCCCGCCCTAGCCATTAGGATAGGTAGCCTTCTTTGGCCTTCTGTAGCCTTTATTACCTCTATCATTTGCTTTGCACTCAGTACAACCCCACTGAGCAGCAACTGACCTTTTGAGAATTAGTTGTTTCTCTAACCAAGGTCACTGGCAACAAAGGTCCACTATCGCTTAATCATCTCACCCCCAGCCTCTAACAGGTAAGGCTCTTGGTCAAGGAGGATGACGACAGGAACACCTGATGGATAAGACCTGGGTCGTACACCGCCCTTCCAACTCTACCACTCTTCTGCTTGACCGCCCCTCTGAGGAAAGGCAGGCATTCTTAGATGCTGACAACAGCAGCAAGAGAAATACCATCTCTAATAAACACAGCCCACAACAGCTCCCTGGCAACCACAGCATCTACTTTATGCTTGTTGCTCTCTAATAAATGTCAAATTCCTGAAGTTATAGCAAAACCCTTTGAGACACAAAGGTTCTCTACTACATAGGGACAATTAAGCAATTATTTGACAAGACTCAGGGAACTGGATTTCTCACTGCTCTCCAGTTTCCCAAGGGTGGAGGCAGACCTCCTGCCCCAGCCATGGCCTTCACGGCCCCGTCCTACCTACTTACTGTGACCCAACTCTCCCAGTCCCTTCTTTCACCCTGTTTCCTAAAGCCCATCCACTGGTCTCATTGTCAATGTCCTGGTGTCCTTCTGACCCTGTAGCACCCACAGTTTCTACTCATTTAACAACTGGTAAGGAGAACAAAAATATGTAAAACAAAATACAAAGTATGACTTCATTTTGTCAAACATTAACAACATGTTTCGTGGTATATATTTACATGGGAAAAAGTCTGGCAGATAATACAACAAACTATTAGTGATTGTCTCATCTGTTTAAGTTGAAAGCATCTTACTTGCATCATAAAAATTAATGAAGCAAAAAACACAAGTTGGTGTTTCCTACGTTGTCTTCTTCCTGCCAGTGTTAGTGGATGTGGTACCCCGCCCCCTGTCGTGGTCCCCACCAGCAGATTAAGGAAGAAAGACACCAGCTCTAACACTCAGAAGAACAATTCCATTTGTGGATCTCTAAGGAGGGGGGTTTTCAACGCATCCGTAAGGAACAGCAAACCAACCAACCCGTAGTACTCTCACACTTCTCCTGCAAGGAGCAGGCCATCAGCTCCACTTTAAGTTTTGTTGCTTTTTCCATCACCTCTTTACCTAAAATCAAGGTAGCTGGACAATGTATATTCTATGTGCAAAAAATATATACATTCACTATTTTGAGGGAAGCAAGATGTAACAATGGGATATGGAAGAGAAAATGCAGGATTGGGGGTCAGAAAATGTTTGTTCTACTACTGATATCAGTGGGCTCCTTTTCTTTCTTTTCCTTCAGATTTTCTGCCTCATAAGTTTTCAGTAAGTTTTCAATGTACACATACATACTGTGTAAGCCAGGCACTGACTATTCGTGGGAGGATGAGGCTGTGCACTTGTAAAGGGCTTCACAGACAAACTGGGAGGTGCCGGCAGGGATTTGCTAGCCTGCTCTGCAGGTGTCAGGAGAGCCATTATCCATCACTGAACAGATCAAATGTTACTCGCCACCCCCACCTCTCACCACATTGTGGAGTCACTCAAGTGGGACTCTGCTCAACTGACTGCAGGTTCACCGCCCTTGTCACTCCTTAGCTGGGGCCTGTGTCTGAAGCTACTTTTTGTTTTCTCTGACCATGGTGTTGTATGAGACATGGCTGGGCTTCTGCCCCTGGCAGTCACTTGGCCCGTCACCGAACTGCAGGTCCAATACTAGCAGAAAGCCTGCCCAGGTCTCTGAGGTGTGGTGCCACCAGGTGAACTTCATGCATGTGACACATCAGCTACGTTGACGTCCTGAACATCCCTCCCATTTTCACTTGGTGAAAATCTGCCCAGTCCTTTGCAAGGACTGCAGTAACAGGCAGTTTATACAAATGTTCATAAATACGCCTTTTGCTGAGGATCTAGGATAAGAAAATGCTAACCTCAGCCATAACTGAAGTCTTTAAAGTTCCAGTTTGAACAACTAGAACTTTAAATGAGCACTTTGTTAAAACTCAAAGGAAAGCGATCAGATAATGCAGGGGGTTGGGGGTCGCTGGAAAGGGCCTCGCTCTTCCTCCTCCCTGTGATTTTTCCCTACGGGAGATAATGTTGGGGGGAGCACTCACCCACACACTTTTTGCCGTCCTCTGCCAGGGTGTAGCCGCTGTAACACTGGCAGACAAAGGAGCCCAGCACGTTCACGCACAGCTGCTCACAGCCGTGGTCCTCTGCTGCACACAGGTCCTGGACTGGGACAACATCACACCATCAGAACACAGTGCTGACGGGGGTAAGTATTGACGTGTGGTCATAGTGGAAAACATAGAAAAGTCTACAAAAGAAAATCCCTGTTAGCCCCCTACCTGTAATCCTACCACCCAGGGTCAACTGTTATTAACATTTTGATGACTTGATTGATATATACACACGCACACACATATTTGAAAATTGAAATCATTTGTCCTTATTAACTGCATTAAATAATTTTAAATTCACATCAGTTTTCATTTTCCTGTGTCACTAAAACTGCTCTGAAAACATTTTGAGCGAACTGTGAGTTATCAAGAGCAGGCATTTGCACTGGTCTGCATCAAATACCATTCCTACTCTTTGAGAACCAGAATGCTCTGTAGTCCGTTTCAGAAATTCTTACAGAAGTAGTCTGGCACTGTCTTTGACATTCTGCAGATGGGGAAGCTGAGAGAGGGCACGGAGGAAAGGCCTACTCTTCCACCAAAAATATAGCAGGTCTAAGAATAGCCCCTAATTCCCAAGCCTGCATCAGCCCCGTTGGACATACTCCTCCTCATTCTGTGTGTCTATCAGAAAGATTTTTCAACTCTGTGTATTCATTCCAGGAATAAATGAGGAAAATGGGAAGCCAGAGTTGGTTAGGAAGGTAACAAAGATTACTAGGGAGAAAGGGTGTATGTCTGTTTGTGGTAGATCCTTATTTTGGTCAGATATTTATCCTATGCCCACAAAGTGCTGAGTCCTGGCTACTTATTCGAATGTAATGTAAGAACACACTACAGGGATGCATTTAAGGTAGTGGGACTAAGAATATATCAGAAGATGAAAAGGTTGGAGGCATTTTCAATCCATCACTGATTTGGTCTCTCCTTTGCAGAAGCAGGCTGACATTTCATAGCAAGGAGAATGGCTTGGATTTATAACTAGCTTTTCCAGTAACTTTATCATTAAAGTTGGAGAAAAATCAGAGAGTATTAAAGGGATTGAATACATTAGAAATAATTTTCTCAGGTAAATATGTCAGTTATAGTAAAAACTCAGTGAAGTAGAAAGCTTGATTAATTCCTGAATTCAATGGCTATACTTTAATGTAATTACCCAGGTCTTTGAGTTTTATAATTTATTGTGCTTTTAGATAGATATAAAATACCAAATTGATAAAAAAAATAAAAGCTGAATAATTCATCATCTATTAAATTAATTTATAGTTAAAAGTAAATAAAATCTACATCATAACATTAAAAATGCTTAAGCCTACACTTTGCCTCCTTGTAAAACCAAAAGGAGAACAACAACAAATTTAAAATAAAAAAACAACCAGACCTGCCAGGAAATCGAACTGTATGAAAGTCTGACAACCAAGGAGTTAAAGCAGAAACATTCATCCAGACCGATAAAGGGGCAGAGATGGGCTGTGGGGACAGAGAGGACACGTGGAAAGGTGGTGGCTGGAGACCGAGAGGTCCCACATTTGCGTGCTGTTAAACTGGCGGGAAGGACTGGGGAGTGAGACAGATCATACAATCCAGGGTTCTAGCACAGGGAAAGAAAACCTCGAAACCTATGGCTATAAAAACCTGTGGGTTGTGGTGGCAGGAGAAACTCCAGCCTCACTGAGTTTGTTGAAGAGACACATAGGGTCCTAGAATGTACACAAACCCACCCACCTTAGAATAAGCATCAGAAGGGCCCAGATGGGCACCAGGGTAAGTGACTGAAAGCCAGATGAGAGCCAAGTAAGCAGCCCTGTTCCCTCTCGGACCCCTCCCCGACATACGGCACAACGCAGTTACCTGGGTTGCCCTGCCCTGGTGAATACCTAAGGCTCCATCCCTTACTACTTAACAGGGATGCCAAGACAAAAAAAAATATATGGCCTGAATGAAAAAAAGATCAAAGATTCAGAAAAAATACAACCAAGTGATAAAGAGACAACCAACCTATCAGATGCACAGTTCAAAAAACCGATAATCAGGATGCTCACAGAAATGGCTGAGTATAGCTTCAAAGTAGAGAAAAAAGTGAAGGCTATGCAAAATGAAATAAAGAAAAATATTCAGGGAACCAGGAGTGAAGGGAAAGAAACCAGGACTCAAACCAACAATTTGGAGCAGAAGGAAGAAATAAACATTCAACCACGACAGAATGAAGAAACAAGAATTCAAGAATATGAGGAGAGGCTTAGGAACCTCTGGGATGACTTTAAACATTCCAACGTCTGAATCATAGGGTGCCAGAAGGAGAAGAGGAAGAGCAAGAAATTGAAAACTTATTTGAAAAAATAATGAAGGAGAATTTCCCCAATCTGGCAAAAGATATAGACATCCAGGAAGTCCAGGAAGCTCAGAATCCCAAAGAAATGGGAGCCAAGGAAGCACACACCAAGGCACATCATAATTACATTAGCCAAAATTAAAGATAAGGAGAGAATCTTAAAAGCAGCAAGAGAAAAGGAGAGAGTTATCTACAAAGGAGTTTCCATAAGACTACTAGCTGATTTCTCAAAAGAAACCTTGTAGGCAAGAAGGAGCTGCAAAGAAGTATTCCCAGTCATAAAGGCCAGGACTTACAGCCAAGATTATTCTATCCAGCAAGGCTACCATTTAGAATGAAAGGGCAGATAAAGTACTTCCCAGATAAGGTCAAGTTATCTTCATCATCACCAAGCCCTTATTATATGAAATGTTAAAAAGACTTATCTAAAAAAAAAGAAGATAAAAAATATGAACAGTAAAACGACAACAAACTCAGAACTATCAACAACTGAACTAAAAAAAAAAACCCCCAAAACCCAAAGAAAGAAAAAAGTAGAACCGGAAGAGAATCACAGAAATTGAAATCACAGGGAGGGTTAACAGCAGAGAGGGAGAGCAGGGAGAATGGGGGAAAAGGTACAGGGAATGAGAAGCATAAATCTTAGGTACAAAATAGACAGGGGGAGGTTAAGAAAAGTGTAGGAAATGGAGAAGCCAAAAACCTCTATGTACAACCCACGGACATGAACTAAGGGCGGAGGGTAGGGGATGGGTAATGCTGGGGGGGCGGTGCAGGGTGAAGAGGAATAAAGGGGAGGAAAAAAACGGGACAACTGTAATAGCATAATCAATAAAATATACTTTAAAAATGCTTAAGTCTAAGACTCTACAAATAAGGATTCTGGTTTATTTTTTAATAAAAAGATTTTATTTGTTTTTCTAGAGAGAGGGGAAGGGAGGGAGAAAGAGAGGACACAAAACACTTATGTATGAGAAAAACATCAATGTGTGGTTGCCTCCTGCACACCCACAACTGGGGACCTGGCCTGCAACCCAGGCATGTGCTCTGACATTGAACTGGTGACCTTTCAGGTCGCAGGCTGGAGCTCAATCCATTGAGCCACACCAGCCAGGGCAGGATCATGGCTTTTAAATCCTACAAGAAGTATTTTCATTCCCAAATCAACCATGTGCTTAAAAATGCACTTGCCTCTTTGTTCACTTGCGCTCTCTCTCGCTGGAGAACACTCAAGCATGTGGGTCTAGCAGCCAATCCAGGCTGGCCGAAGACCACATAGGCCCCAAAGGACTAGGCTTTAATATGAAACAGAAACTCTGGAAGCTGGCCTTTGTGTTGGCTTTGCTGAAGACAAGGTTGGACTCTTTCCATGTTAGAATGGACAAAGATGGGACACTAGAAACACAGGGGGCAGCTTCTACTTCTGCCCAAATAAATCTTGCCACACCACAATCTCCCATGCTTGGGTTCATGAAACGCTTTTCTCACAATCCCGTGGGACAGTCTGATTTCCAACAAAAAGACTCTCAGCACAGTTAGATGGAGACCGTTGCTTTGTTGGGGAACAGCTGCAGTTTCCCGAATTTCAAGCTGAAGAGCTTTGGTTAGCTTACACATTGATGGGAAAATTCACTTCTTGAAATGAAGACCTTCAACGGTTCCTCAGAGCTTTTGGCTCCTCTCACCCGCTGTCAGTGCGCTGCTGTGCTTTTTCCCTCCTGGCGTGCATCACAATGTTAATCACAGAGGCCTGCATTCAGGGATGTCTTCGCTGTGCCTCCCTTGCTTGTCTCTAAGCTCCCTGATGGGGAGGGGAGCTTCCCTGCACAAGGGCTTGCTGGCTGGAATATGGCACCCCAGCACACTGGAACAACCTGCCCCCTCGAGCCCCGAGCCTGTCTTTGGAGATCCGGCACAGGAGCTTCTCCACCCGGGGCCTCCCTCCCCTTTCTCTGCTCCAGCTGCTCCTTTGCACCCAAGCCCCGCCCCTGTGTCCAGCAGGAACTAGCCTAACAGTGATTAGGGAGGGTTGGTGGGAGTACATGTGACTTTTAGTCTCTTAAGTATAACTATCTATTTTCAAATTGTCTAACAAGAATCTGTAACAAGAATTTACATAACAATGAAAAAATCATTGTGTTACAAAAGAACTCCTTCAAAATTAGCATTTTAAAAACAATGAACCAGGACAAGGAAATTATCTTTTTTCCAAAAGACTTCCCCACCCCTGCAATGGGTAGGTAGAGAGAGGCAATGAAATGCTTGTCCCTTTCCGGACAGGGCAGGACACCCGCCTGGGAATAACTGCAAGGTTCCTCTACAAAAGCAGCGGAACCCAGCCTCCACTGCCCAGTAGAACCATCTGGGGGGCTTTTGCAAATTTGGATGCCAGCCTCCAGCCCCTCTCTACATCAGACTGATGGGGTGGGAGCAGGGAGGGATGTAGGCAGCTCCCAGATAACACCAGTGCATAGCCAAGTTGAAAGTCCTGGAACCTACTGGATAAAACGTCCCCACAGCCCTCCGAGGGGAAGGTTCCCAGGGCCCCCTACTAACAAAGACGGCCAAGGTCAGTTTCCACCTTTGAACAACTCTCGGAATTACTGTTGTCCTCGGTCCCCTCGGACACTAGGTAGGGGTGCTAAGTGTGGTAGGGACAGGATTACGGCTTGAATTCCAAAAGAACAGTCCCACAAACAGCAAGCCTGCCAGCTGGCTTTGT